TGCAGTTCCCCCGGTGGCCGCTAGGTGTCTCAGTCTCTGGTTGCAGTTCCCCCGGTGGCCGCTGGGTGTCTCAGTCTGTGGTTGCAGTTCTCCCGGTGGACGCTGGGTGTCTCAGTCTCTGGTTGCAGTTCCCCCGGTGGCCGCTGGGTGTCTCAGTCTCTGGTTGCAGTTCCCCCGGTGGCCGCTGGGTGTCTCAGTCTCTGGTTGCAGTTCCCCCGGTGGCCGCTGGGTGTCTCAGTCTCTGGTTGCGGTTCCCCCGGTGGCCGCTGGGTGTCTCAGTCTGTGGTTGCAGTTCCTCTCGTGGCCGCTGTCTCAGTCTGTGGTTGCAGTTCCTCTCGGTGGCCGCTGGGTGTCTCTAGTCTGTGGTTGCAGTTCCTCTCGGTGGCCGCTGGGTGTCTCAGTCTCTGGTTGCAGTTCCCCGTACGCTAAGTGTCTCTAGTCTGTGGTTGCAGCCCCCGTGGCCGCTGGGTGTCTCAGTCTCTGGTTGCAGCGTTCCCCGGTGGTCAGCTTAGGTGTCTCAGTCTGTGGTTGCAGTTCCTCCGTGGCCGGGTGTCTCAGTCTCTGGTTGCAGTTCCCCCGGTGGCCGCTGGGTGTCTCAGTCTGTGGTTGCAGTTCCCCCGGTGGCCGCTGGGTGTCTCAGTCTGTGGTTGCAGTTCCCCCGGTGGCCGCTGGGTGTCTCAGTCTCTGGTTGCAGTTCCCCCGGTGGCCGCTAGGTGTCTCAGTCTGTGGTTGCAGTTCCCCCGGTGGCCGCTGGGTGTCTCAGTCTCTGGTTGCAGTTCCCCCGGTGGCCGCTGGGTGTCTCAGTCTCTGGTTGCAGTTCCCCCGGTGGCCGCTGGGTGTCTCAGTCTGTGGTTGCAGTTCCCCCGGTGGCCGCTGGGTGTCTCAGTCTGTGGTTGCAGTTCCCCCGGTGGCCGCTGGGTGTCTCAGTCTGTGGTTGCAGTTCCCCCGGTGGCCGCTGGGTGTCTCAGTCTGTGGTTGCAGTTCCCCCGGTGGCCGCTGGGTGTCTCAGTCTGTGGTTGCAGTTCCCCCGGTGGCCGCTGGGTGTCTCAGTCTGTGGTTGCAGTTCCCCCGGTGGCCGCTGGGTGTCTCACTCTCTGGTTGCAGTTCCCCCTGTGGCCGCTGGGTGTCTCAGTCTCTGGTTGCAGTTCCCCCGGTGGCCGCTGGGTGTCTCAGTCTCTGGTTGCAGTTCCCCCGGTGGCCGCTGGGTGTCTCAGTCTGTGGTTGCAGTTCCCCCGGTGGCCGCTGGGTGTCTAAGTCTGTGGTTGCAGTTCCCCCGGTGGCCGCTAGGTGTCTCAGTCTGTGGTTGCAGTTCCCCCGGTGGCCGCTGGGTGTCTCAGTCTCTGGTTGCAGTTCCCCCTGTGGCCGCTGGGTGTCTCAGTCTCTGGTTGCAGTTCCCCCGGTGGCCGCTGGGTGTCTCAGTCTCTGGTTGCAGTTCCCCCGGTGGCCGCTGGGTGTCTCACTCTCTGGTTGCAGTTCCCCCGGTGGCCGCTGGGTGTCTCAGTCTGTGGTTGCAGTTCCCCCGGTGGCCGCTGGGTGTCTCACTCCGCGTTGCTCCGCCCGGTGGATGTTTGTCCCTCCCCGGACTCCGGAGTTGTAGTTCTCAGCTCGGACTTTGCCCGGTTATCGCTCGGTATCGCCCGGTTATCGCCGCCATGTCCTCCGGCCGGTCGCTGCAGATCCCGGGCCGGCTGCCGTTGCTGGTTTCCCCGGAGGGGGAGGCGGTGCTGCTCCCGGGGGCCACGCTGAGGCTGGCGGTGGATTCTCCCGGTAACCTCGCTCTGCTCCGGGGCCGCCTGCTGCGGGGAACCTCCCTGAGGAGCTCAGTGATCGGAGTAATACCGGGAGCCCCGCCACCAGCACCACTGCGCAGGTAACACCACGGGGGGAGGGGGCAGAGTATTGGGGGGCTGGGGGTGACAGAGTATTGGGGGGGCTGGTGGTGACAGGTATTGGGGGCTGGTGGTGACAGGTATCGGGGGCTGGGGGTGACAGGTATTGGGGGGTGGTGGTGACAGGTATCGGGGGCTGGGGTGACAGGTATTGGGGGCTGGTGGTGACCTTGAGTATTGGGGGTGACGGGCACCGGGGGGCTGGGGGTGACAGAGTATTGGGGGTGTGACAGGCACCGGGGGGGCTGGGGTGACAGGTATTGGGGGGTGACAGGTATTGGGGGGGTGGGGGTGACAGGTATTGGGGGTGACAGGTGGGGGGGGCTGGTGGTGACAGAGTATTGGGGGGTGACAGGTGGGGGGCTGGGGGGTGACAGAGTATTGGGGGGTGACAGAGACCCCGAATAATGGGACACTATTACCCTAAAGGGAGCAGGTGTTTATTCTGTCCCCAATACATGAAGCTCATTCAATAAGCTGCGAATTGTACTGATTTTATTCTGAATTGTACGTTTTATAGAATCCATCTCCGCTATATTCCCAGGTCACAAGTTTATTTTATTCAGAATTTTCCGCTTTCACAGTTTAGAGAATAAACATATTTATGTGATGCTCTAACATACGCCGGCGCGGAGTGAATTGTGGGGCACGTTATTAGAGGTAACTACCTATTCCACGCCATCTACTAATAAAGTACTAATTTTCAGACCTCGCTGTCAGTCATTTTATAGGATTCAAGTTGCGGCTTTGTCATTGTCACATTATTTCATGGGATTTGAATGTTGAATTCTTGTAATGATGCATAATAAAAACACAAAAAAAGTATTCCTTCAATTGTTTATTTCGATAAAACGGTAACATTTGGAGAATGGCCGTGAACCTTTATTATGAATTTCACAATTCCAATTTAAACATTAACATCCTTAAATAAAACCATAACTTGTAACCAAAATAAACCATTAACCATTTCCAGGAGCCATAAATATATATTAAGCCCAATTCAAGCAGTCCACGTTCCTGTGATGCCCAGGAGAGCGACTTATATCCCATAATAAGGTCACAACCGAAAAAAAACTGAAAGGGAAGGGTGGGGGGCTGCAGCTCACAAAATCCTTACAAGCAGCCAACCTTGTTAATTGTCTGGCACAAGTTGAGGTAAATGATTTTGACCCCTTTAAATTTATACCCCCAAATTCCCGCCGCTAAATGCCTGGCTCCGCTATTCACCAATCAGGGCATTAGCACCTAACTGCAGCCTGCCGATATGTACCCACCAGCTCGATCAAACCCCATGAGGCAGCTCCTTATTTGTCCGCCCGTCCAACATTCCGTTCATTATTTAACCCTTTAAGGACACATGACATGTGTGACATGTCATGATTTGCTTTTATTCCAGAAGTTTGGTCCTTAAGGGGTTAAGCCTTTTCCCCTCGGTTTTGTTTGCCTTGTTCCCAGACCCCATTTTATTTATGGAGTTTGCGATACCCTGTACTAACTTTACAAAGCGAGTGACACGCCCTAACCTGTAGATTAAACATTAAATACAGCGACGCCGACCTTCATCCCATTTATCTCCTGTTACTCCCGGCAACAATCCCGCGTTACTGCGGGTTAGATCTGTCTTATCAACCTGTTATGTAAATACAGAGAACGACGGTGTCTCTACGCCAGCAAGTTTCACTTCATACATTCAATATCTCTGCATGAAAAGGGCTGCCTTGTCGCATGTACAATTCATTTCTATCTAAATTGAGCACGTATACACCGTATTGTGGAAACTATTCATTGTGTTCGTGTGATATTTGGAAAAGCAGGATAAGTGTTAGTTCCTGGTAACCAGAGTCCCTGTGAGAGCATTATTTAGGCATGTGATTTAATGAGGATCTGCGTTCTCACATGACGATGACATGTCTTCCCATGATTGAATGCTTGTGTTTACAGGGATGCTGAACCCCGTGTTTGTCATTGCAAGGTGACATCTAGCTTAACGGTCCAATCTCCTTCCATCTCCAAGATAACCTCTTCCCTCCCAGCCACCTACCCAGCTCTGTATAGAAGGCAAATATAGGCACTCGTTGTAATATATAGATAAATAGGCTGGTGCAAATCAGCATGGATTCCCAGAGATCGCTTAGTATACACAGTGTAGAAAAACGCAAAAGTGATTTACCTCACCGGGAAAACCACATAGGTGGAACCAGAGCCGTGTGTGTGTGTATACGTACACGTTTTAGAAATCAAAGAGTTCCAGTTTTCAAAAAAAACCTTAAAGTGAAGCACAATCCATACTAATAATAATGATATATGACAAATCTCTAGTGGAATCATTTTAAGGTGTACAGGCTCTTCCGGTGACGTATATCGGAAGCGTTATCACTGCTTGGGCAACATGAGCGTGAGGACTAAGGAAGGTACAGAGAGAACGCGCATATCAAAACTACAATCCCCATAATGCCACAGCAGGACGAGTTGTGTCACTTGGAAGGCGAGGCGCCTGAATCGAAACCAATCAGCACACCAGATCCCAATAATGACAACCATACTGCCCACATAAACTTGGGCATTGAAGGGACACTTACACTTCTGAGGAAGCCCTGTTGGGTGAAACTTGTAAAGTGTGTATTGGAGCCATTTATCTTATTATTTGTTTTAAAATTGTTATTTTTTCTATATATCATTTTATTGTTTTTGCTGCTGATCTACATTCCTGGTTCCTGCAATCCCTGGTGGAGATTATACCACCAAAGCTATATATACATTAGAGCAAGTTACTGCTCCCACAATTGTAATAAGGCTCTATTTTTCTTTGATATCATACTTATATGTACTTACTATTGTACCATCAAAGTCTTTCTGCCTTTTTATCTCATGTTTGAGCATTACTGGAAGCACATCTGAGTGGATCTTCACATATCCTGAGATGGGACTCAGGCGCTATACAGCAGAGCTCTTAGTAGCTCAGAAACGTGTGAGTTGAATATCTATACATCTTATACATATTCCACTATAGATTTGGCATATAGCACTATTATTTGTATATATTCTGCTTTTTTTTTAAGGTTCTTTTGAAAACTGGAACTGCTACTTGCTAAAAAGTGTACGTCTATATATATACTTTACTCTGGTTCTATCTGTGTGGTTTTCCTTGCGTGGTAAATCACACCTACCTCTGTATTGTAGCACCATATTCCTCCCGGCTGAGAAATTGTCTCTCAGGTCTGTTTACTAAATGATCAAATTAGACAAACGTCGTTATATACCCAGCTGATGGGTGTTTACAATTACCGGCAATTTGATGGCGTTGAGGAAATTCAGTTTCTCATATATCGGGGTCTTGATCTACTGTATGTGGAACAAACACCATTTCTGCAGACAAACAGCTGGGCTTTTACAATCAGAGCTCTAGGGTTCAGGACTGGGAGCACATGGTCTGCACCTCAGGCTGGAGCAGACCACCATAATTACTCTCTCCAGTGCCAGAGTTAAATAATGTGTCAGAGAGCTGGTAAACACTGCGCATGTTACACTATTCTTGATAAGTACAGATTTTACTTACATTTCTGTACTTAAAGCAAACAAACAAATCTCTTGGCAGTGAAGGGGTTAACCTGTCGGCTATGTCCCTTTATGTAAGTGGTGTCTCGGTTGCTATGTATATGACTTAATCTGGTCTTTTTCGGTAGGATTGGAACCGCAGCCTTGGCCGTACAAGTGGTCGGCAGTAACTGGCCGAAGCCTCACTTCACTCTGCTCGTCACCGGTCTGTGCCGATTCCAGGTAGTGGAGATTCTGAACGAGAGGCCGTATCCTGTTGCCGTGGTGGAGCAGTTAGACCATCTGGAGCAGCTGAGCAGTAAGACGGAGCTCAAGGAAGCCCTGGGAGAGCTGTCGGAACAATTCTACAAATATGCTGTACAGGTGTGTTCTCCAGCTCTTCCCCCACCACCAGCACTACAGCACTACTTAGGAACTTTATCATGGTACTTACAGGTCAAGGCTTGACCTCAATGAATCGCAGAAGTGATGTGTTAGCCATTTTGTGATACTTTTTACTGACCGAGCAAAGGGTTATCTGCCAAGCTCTGTATAACACACATGGAGGGGTTTATACCAAGCTCTGTATAACACACATGGAGGGGTCTGTGCCAAGCTCTGTATAACACACATGGAGGGGTCTGTGCCAAGCTCTGTATAACACACATGGAGTGGTCTGTGCCAAGCTCTGTATAACACACATGGAGGGGTCTGTGCCAAGCTCTGTATAACACACATGGAGGGGTCTGTGCCAAGCTCTGTATAACACACATGGAGGGGTCTGTGCCAAGCTCTGTATAACACACAGGGAGGGGGTCTATACCAAGCTCTGTATAACACACAGGGAGGGGTCTATACCAAGCTCTGTATAACACACAGGGAGGGGTCTGTGCCAAGCTCTGTATAACACACAGGGAGGGGGTCTATACCAAGCTCTGTATAACACACAGGGAGGGGTCTGTGCCAAGCTCTGTATAACACACATGGAGGGGGTCTATGCCAAGCTCTGTATAACACACATGGAGGGGGTCTATGCCAAGCTCTGTATAACACACAGGGAGGGGGTCTATACCAAGCTCTGTATAACACACAGGGAGGGGGTCTATACCAAGCTCTGTATAACACACAGGGAGGGGGTCTATACCAAGCTCTGTATAATACACAGGGAGGGGGTCTATACCAAGCTCTGTATAACACACAGGGAGGGGGTCTATACCAAGCTCTGTATAACACACAGGGAGGGGGTCTATACCAAGCTCTGTATAACACACAGGGAGGGGTCTGTGCCAAGCTCTGTATAACACACATGGAGGGGGTCTGTGCCAAGCTCTGTATAACACACGGAGGGGGTCTATACCAAGCTCTGTATAACACACATGGAGGGGTCTGTGCCAAGCTCTGTATAACACACAGGGAGGGGTCTGTGCCAAGCTCTGTATAACACACATGGAGGGGTCTGTGCCAAGCTCTGTATAACACACCCCTCCATGTGTGTTTATAGAAGGATTGTCCCTGTTTAATACATTGCAGATTCTCCACAATGAGATATATGCCGTATTCCAACTGCCTCCAGTGCTCTTTACCATAATCTGTCTGTAGCATGTAACCTACTGTTTTAGACTTGCCTGCTCAAAAAATGTTTAGTCTATCGACCCTGCTGCAGACTCCCAGCGGACTAGATATGTTTTTTTTTTTTTTAAACCGATCAACCTGTTAAGAACACCCTCTCATTTGCCAAGCATGTAATCTGATTTTATTCTCCACTCTCCCCCATGTCTATCTTACCGTCATTGTATCATATCTCCAGTGAAAAGGGCATGTCTATATAATGGTGTTACCCTGAGAGGGCACATTACTGCGACTGAATTTACTTTTGAAACGAAAAATAGTGCAGTCTAGGGTTATCTTCACGTCACAATCCCTTGTTAAGCTTTATCAGCACACTTGAGCAGGCGCATCAGTCGAAAGTACTGAGCTTGTAGACCCTCACATGACCCCCCACATTAGACATAATACTTTTGAGGCGCATAGCCCACATCATGCTTAGTATGTCTACCTTCTAACATATTACACGTGAAAAGCTCAGATTATGTAAGCGTTACTTACTCTCACGTAAACATTAGCCCCAGCCTGTATTAAACAGCTTGCATGTTAATATATAATGATTGTATATGCCTAGCTAACCTGAGAACGCAATGTTACTTAAAACATAAAATGAAGCAGACACTCATGTGAGAATATACCCGTATTATTGTTTACTGTATTCGTGTGCATATTTACGGTTATATATCTCCTTTTCTTCCTTTCTGTTACGTTCCCATAATGCTTCAATAAAACAAAGATTGACAAAAAAGAAGCCATTAACGTGTCGTGATGCAATGTGAAGACATATCCACGTTAAGGACTGTATCTGTGCAGCCCATTGGCATGTGGTAGTTTTGGTTCTTCGTGCCCCTTTAATTGTTTCATGTAAAAGTTAAATGATTTATTCCTCACAATGCGAAGTTTAATAGTCCGTCTCATGGCTGCTGTAATGATAGTTTTATGAGATGTTTTACTTTTGGTTTTGTCGCTAATCGTCACTTTTTTTTGTTGTGTTTTTAAAATGTTCCCAACGTAATTCTGTGATTAAACTCAACATAGACAAGAAATGGTCACCCTCTTCCGTCCGGCTGACAATGTGTCACAAAATCATTTACCCGATAACTAACTTGTTTTGTCATTCTGTGACATTGTCAATAAAAACTGAAATATGTACAATGAATTTAATGTTTTATGAATATAATGTATGCTGTAGTGGTTATGGTGCCAGGAGTTCCGTTGCCATTCTAGAACATATTGACTTCTTACCAGAGGTCTACCGAGCACCACTTCCTGCCTCCACTACAACTCTCTCATTGAGCTAAGCTCAGCGCAGAGGGCCAGGTCATTGGCTGAGAGTGTTTGGCTGACGCTGCATTGTAGTTCGTTGTTCAGGAGAACATACAGAAGTGTCGGGCTCTTACTGGCCTGTTGTGAAGGCAGGGAGCGGGTCTCTGCGTACACCGGGTAAGAAGTAAAACTGTTCTAGAATGGTTTAATCCTTGCAGTGGTTATGGTGCTTAGAGCTTTTTTTAGTAAAATCCGACCCGTCTATATTACATTATAAGAACAATGAAGAGAGGACTGAGCTAGAAACAACTGCTTTTATGCGCTGTGTCTAGTTTACATACCTGAATGAAGAATTAGGAATATAGCGCACTGGGGAGAATCTGCAATGTATTAAACAGGGACAATCCTTGTGGTCACTTATTTATTGTGATAAGAGATAATAAAATGACACTGGTAGTAAACGAAATAATGTACAAGGAAAATAAATCCAAACACAGTCAAAACAAATAGTAAGTACACGTTACTGTCTGGCAGGAGACACTTCGCCAGCAATACTTGAACGGCTGACATTTCTCTCTCTTCTCTCACAGCTGGTTGATATGTTGGACAATTCAGTTCCCGCTGTGGCCAAACTGAAACGCTTATTGAATAATCTGCCGAGGGAACTCTTACCAGACGTCCTGACATCCATAATCCGGACCACGAATGAAGAGAAACTGAAGGTCAGGAATGGCAGGTGCTCTTGGTGCGATGAAAGGCGGTCAGGACGCCCAGGTCTTCTTAAAACCTAACTTTTATTGATGGTCAACGTCAGTGGTGTATCCTGGTTTTTTGCTGCCCTAGGCATGACAAAACTCAGGCGCCCCCGCCACCCATCCGTTCCCCTCTACCCCGCCACCCACCCGTTCCCCTCTACCCCGCCACCCACCCGTTCCCCTCTACCCCGCCACCCACCCGTTCCCCTCTACCCCGCCACCCACCCGTTCCCCTCTACCCCACCTTCTAAATACACACACACACACATTCACTGACAGACACGCATACACTAGCTAACAGACATACACACTCACTAACAGACACACAGTCACTAGCAGACATACACACTCACTAACACACATACAGTCACTAACAGACACGCATACACTCTCACTAACAGACACACACATAGTAACACACTCCCTGACATACACACACTCACTCATAGACTCACACTCACTAACAGACACACACACACACTCACTCACTAACAGACAGACACACTCACTCACTAAGACACACACACTACCAGACACACACACACACACTACCAGACACTCACTCACTAACGGACACACACTCTGTAGCGGAGATGCAATATTCCCCAGATTGTCTCCGCTTATAATCCAAGTGAGGCTCAGGAACAAGTAAATAATAAATCCATAGGCAAAGTTTCCAGCAGGTAAAATAACAGCAATCTCCCCACAGCAATCCCAATAACTGGACGACACACAGTTTCAGGAGCAGAACTGACAAGCCTTTAATCACAGTCTCCTTATAAAGCATGCTCCCATGCAAGGGAGGGATTACAGTAATTATTACAGTAGCCAATCCTGTCCTGGTAACCTCCCACACATCTCCTCCCCTCAGCCAGCATCATAATCCCTTATCCAGTACACCAATTCCCCCCGTTTCTGGATGTACCCCTAAACGTAGGGGTACCTCTTTAAATCCTACATCCCCTGGTAGCCCTGATCTGGGTGAACAACATATCCAAAAACCACCCAGATCAGACCAGGAGTTCGGGAAAAGTATGGAGGGAATAAAATGACCGACCGCACGAACTGAGATAGCCGAATTCGGTTCCATGTGAATGGGCCCTGCGGTCGGTCCTGGCATAAGGGAATAAAATACACGAAAACCTCTAGCTATAGAGGCTAGGGAGGGTTCGCCTGAATCCCCTCGTTCGGTATTCTCTATCTATAGTTTGGAACCGAACGGACCAGGGCTGTGGAGGTCTCAGCGGTGTTCGCCTACTCGAGTGTCCGATTTTAGTTCCAGACACTCGACGGCTAAACACCGCTGTTCGGGAGTTTTAAAATGGCCACCGCCACGTGTTCGTTTGTCGAATGGCGGCCACCCCCGAGAACAAAGGACGGCTACTTACTGTTCAATTACCCGTTCGCAACAATGTTGCAACGGGTAATTGAGGACACACTTCACACAGGGGAGGTCTGGTTGTTCGGTAGTTTCATTCGAATAAACTAAGGGAACGAAACTACCGAATAATCACAAGAATACAAGGCTTTAAAACACATAGGAAACTAACAGATCACACGAATGCAATTATTTCACAGACATTTGCAGGACAGCCCAGTGCCATCCGCTACACACTCACTCACTCACTAACGGACACACACTCACTCACTAACGGACACACACTCACTCACTAACAGACAAACACACACGCTAACACACTCACTTTTTTTTTTTTAAATTCAACCCCCCAGCCTCCTTACCTTTGGGAATGCCAGGGGAGGGGAGCAGAGATTCTCCCTTTACCTGGGGTCCAGTGGGGCTGCTGGGCGGCGCTGGCAAGGGAGCGCTGATTAGTGAGCTGTCTCTGCTAAGCTCCCTCGCGCGCCGCAGAGTGATGCCAGGACCCGGAATATGACGCGAGGGAGCTGAGCAGAGAGCTCGGGGTAAAGTGCTCCCTCGCCAGCTCCGCCCGCACGACCGGATTTATAGTTACATAGCTGAAAAGAGACTTGCGTCCATCAAGTTCAGCCTTCCTCACATATGTTGTTGCTGTTGATCCAAAAGAAGGCAAAACACCCAGTCTGAAGCGCTTTCAATTTTGCAACAATCTAGGAAAAATTCCTTCTTGACCCCAAAATAGCAGTCAGATGTCTCCTATTACCCCACTAATTAGAAATTATATCCCTGTATGTTATGTTTTTGCAAGTATGTATCCAATTGCAGTTTAAACATCTGTATAGACTCTGACAAAACACCTCTTCAGGCCGAGAATTACATATCCTTATTGCTCTTACTGTAAAAAAAACTTTTCTTTGTCTTAGATGAAATCTCCTTTCTTCCAGCCTAAATGTGTGACCTTGTGTCCTATGTATAGTCCTGTTTATGAATAGATTTCCAGATAAAGCTTTGTACTGGCCCCGAATATATTTGTATAATGTTATCATATCCCCTCTCAGGCGCCGTTTTTCCAAACTAAAGAGGTTTAATTTTTTTTAACCTTTCTTCATAACTAAAATGCTCCATTCCTTTTATCAATTTTGTAGCTTGTCTCTGCACTTTTTCTAGTGCCATGATATCTTTCTTTAGAACAGGCGCCCAAAATTTCACAGCATATTCAAGGTGTGGTCTTTCCAGCGATTTTATAAAGAGGCAAAATTATATTTTCATCCTGAGAATTTATGCCCCTATTTATACATGGCAAAACCTTACTGGCCTTAGACACTGCAGATTGACATTGCATATTGCTGCCTAATTTGTTGTCTATAACAATTCCCAAATCCTTCTCGTGTGTGGTTATCCCTAATTCACTACCATTTAGGGTGTAAATTGCTTGTGCATTCTTAACCCCAAAGTGCATAACTTTGTATTTCACTACATTAAATTTAATCTGCCATTTTAGTGCCCAGTCCCCCAATCTATCCAAATCCCTCTGCAGCAAAGCAATATCCTGCTCACATTTTATTACTTTACAAAGTTTTGTGTCATCTGCAAACACTGATACATGGCTTTCAATGCCTATTTCAAGATCATTTATAAATATGTTAAATAGAAGTGGTCCCAAAACAGAACCCTGAGGGACACCACTTACCACTTTTGTCCAGCCTAAAAATTTACCATTAATGACAACTCGTTGTGCTCTATCCTTGAGCCAATGTTCTACCCAAGAACAAGAATATTCATCTAGACCAATTTCTTTTAGTTTGAAGACTAACCTATTGTGAGGAACCATATCTAATGCCTTGGCAAAATCCAAGTAGATCACATCCACTGCAACACCCTGATCTATACTTCTACTTACTTCTTCGTAGAATGCAATTAGGTTAGTTTGACATGACCTATCTTTCATAAAACCATGCTGATTATTGCTAATAACAAAGTTCTTCCCAATGAATTCCTGAATATTATCCCTTAATAGCCCTTCAAATATTTTCCCAGTTACAGAAGTTAAGCTCACAGTTCTATAATTTCCAGGCAAGGATTTTTAACCCTTTTTAAATATAGGAACAACATCTGCCTTCCTCCAATCCTCAGGTACAATACCTGAAACAAAAGAATCTTGAAAATGTAAATACAGAGGTTCACTTATTTCCCCGCTTAGCTCCTTAAGTACTCGTGGGTGGATTTACATTCATTTTTTTTTTAATACCTGTAGCACCTTGTCTCGCGTTTTCTGCAAGTTTTTTGCAGCAATCATTTGCTTATCTCTTGCCATAGGATCCTCATTAATATATACTGAAGAAAATAGTTATTTAAAATTTCTGCCTTTTCCTGATCTTCATTAACTAACAGACCCATTTCTGTTTTCAGTGTACCTACACTTTCATTTTAGCCAGGCTAACAAGACATTTGCCCTGGGCATTTGGGGCGGCTTTTTTTGCCGCCCCCTGGAAAGTGCCGCCCAAGGCAAATGCCTTGTTTGCCTCGCGCTAATACGTCCCTGGTCAACATATCATCACTGGACCCTGGACAGAGGCGTTGGTTTATGCCGAACCGTTGGGGCAGGATTTCGGCACTGCTTCTGCTCAGCTTGTCGTTACATTCTGTTTATTTGTTTTATTGAAGGCATATCCCTGTGTTGTTGTGAAATGTTTTTTTTTTTTTTTTTTTTTTTTATAGTCTAGTTTTTAATTGGAATATTGTGTTGTCTTGCATTATAGGGTTTGTTACTATGTTACACTCAGATCACTGTGTATTGTAAACTGACACTTTAACAATACTCGAAGGTCTTCATTAAAATAAAATGGAAGTTTTATTTATGTCAACGCTTGTCCCCTGCTCATTGTCAGAACAAGAAAACATTTACTGGCAAAATGGGTTAAAATAGAAAAAGAAAACAAATAGAATTGTACTCCGTCTTCATAAAAATACAATGGAACATCAACACAAGTTCTGATTTAGTTTTATGAAGACATTGGAGTACTGTCCTATTACTTGCATTGTTTGAAAAACATTTTTATGTTATTATTATTATTATTGCCCATTTTGTAAGTAAATTTCTTTGGAAATAAAAGTTGCGAATTAGACTCCCGTAAACCAACCTACCTGTTGATTTTGTGTCAGATTCTAGACGCTGTGAGTCTGGAGGAACGTTTTAGGGTTACCATCCCTCTCTTACTACGGCAGATTGAAGGGTTAAAACTCCTACAGAAGACGCGGAGCCTGAAATCGGATGATGACAAAAGGGTAAGAGAAGGCTATTGATCGTTTTAATTCATATCGGTAATTATGTTTGAGTTTCTCGCTGGCCTATCAATGGATGCGCTTCTGAGTATAGGAATATCTTGGCTAATGACATCCCAATGACACTGTTGGAGGAGTTACACCTCCCGCAGCAAAGGGGTTAAAGTCCATTTGTGCAATATTTTCAAAGTAAAATGATTAGCCATCATGACCACTTCACATCACGGATGTAACCCTTTATATGAGTGATGGAGTAGTAAGAGTTACTTTTCCTAACGGTTTCTAGGTGGTCGCTATTCGGCCCCTGCGGAAGCTCGGAGCCATTAATGGGAAACCTTTTTCTTTGGAAAACGCAGATGAGGATGATGAAGATTCAGATGACATCATTCTCCTTGAGAAGAAAATCAAATCGTCCAACATGCCAGAGCCGGCGCTGAAAGTCTGCGTCAAGGAAATTAAAAGGTAAAGTGGCGAGGTTTCCCCTCTCCCAGATTTCAAGGACATTTACGTTCCCTTTAAACAGTCCTTTTAGAGTAAAGAATAACTGAGCATTCTTAAAAAGGAATAGGTCACTTGATTCTTATCACTGAAATGTAAGTCTAAAATTGGTGGGTGAATTGAAACACGAAACTATGTGAGCGTCCTGCGTGTGAGAATGGGGGGTTTATTACTGTAACTAAATCGGAATATAGCATTCAAGATAACAAGTAAAATACGGAAGATACGTTTATTGATAGCTTCCTTTGTTCTTCGTATCCGTGGTAACTTGGCTAAAAAAGAGATCTGCGAGTTGCACAGACTGAGACACCTTCCAAAATATTCATGAAATGCAAAGGACCCATCACGCCAATCCACACCATCACCAACAGAGGGCAGTACACATGAGCAAAACACGTTAAAACCACCAGAGGGAGCACACTGAAAGTGCACGTAATATCTTCAAGTGGGGCTTTTTTTAAAGGTATAAATATTCTGCGATACACGCTTTATACCATTTCCCTTCAGACTTCATTTTTTTTATAGTCTAGTTTTTAATTGGAATATTGTGTTGTCTTGCATTATAGGGTTTGTTACTATGTTACACTCAGATCACTGTGTATTGTAAACTGACACTTTAACAATACTCGAAGGTCTTCATTAAAATAAAATGGAAGTTTTATTTATGTCAACGCTTGTCCCCTGCTCATTGTCAGAACAAGAAAACATTTACTGGCAAAATGGGTTAAAATAGAAAAAGAAAACAAATAGAATTGTACTCCGTCTTCATAAAAATACAATGGAACATCAACACAAGTTCTGATTTAGTTTTATGAAGACATTGGAGTACTGTCCTATTACTTGCATTGTTTGAAAAACATTTTTATGTTATTATTATTATTATTGCCCATTTTGTAAGTAAATTTCTTTGGAAATAAAAGTTGCGAATTAGACTCCCGTAAACCAACCTACCTGTTGATTTTGTGTCAGATTCTAGACGCTGTGAGTCTGGAGGAACGTTTTAGGGTTACCATCCCTCTCTTACTACGGCAGATTGAAGGGTTAAAACTCCTACAGAAGACGCGGAGCCTGAAATCGGATGATGACAAAAGGGTAAGAGAAGGCTATTGATCGTTTTAATTCATATCGGTAATTATGTTTGAGTTTCTCGCTGGCCTATCAATGGATGCGCTTCTGAGTATAGGAATATCTTGGCTAATGACATCCCAATGACACTGTTGGAGGAGTTACACCTCCCGCAGCAAAGGGGTTAAAGTCCATTTGTGCAATATTTTCAAAGTAAAATGATTAGCCATCATGACCACTTCACATCACGGATGTAACCCTTTATATGAGTGATGGAGTAGTAAGAGTTACTTTTCCTAACGGTTTCTAGGTGGTCGCTATTCGGCCCCTGCGGAAGCTCGGAGCCATTAATGGGAAACCTTTTTCTTTGGAAAACGCAGATGAGGATGATGAAGATTCAGATGACATCATTCTCCTTGAGAAGAAAATCAAATCGTCCAACATGCCAGAGCCGGCGCTGAAAGTCTGCGTCAAGGAAATTAAAAGGTAAAGTGGCGAGGTTTCCCCTCTCCCAGATTTCAAGGACATTTACGTTCCCTTTAAACAGTCCTTTTAGAGTAAAGAATAACTGAGCATTCTTAAAAAGGAATAGGTCACTTGATTCTTATCACTGAAATGTAAGTCTAAAATTGGTGGGTGAATTGAAACACGAAACTATGTGAGCGTCCTGCGTGTGAGAATGGGGGGTTTATTACTGTAACTAAATCGGAATATAGCATTCAAGATAACAAGTAAAATACGGAAGATACGTTTATTGATAGCTTCCTTTGTTCTTCGTATCCGTGGTAACTTGGCTAAAAAAGAGATCTGCGAGTTGCACAGACTGAGACACCTTCCAAAATATTCATGAAATGCAAAGGACCCATCACGCCAATCCACACCATCACCAACAGAGGGCAGTACACATGAGCAAAACACGTTAAAACCACCAGAGGGAGCACACTGAAAGTGCACGTAATATCTTCAAGTGGGGCTTTTTTTAAAGGTATAAATATTCTGCGATACACGCTTTATACCATTTCCCTTCAGACTTCATTCACGATAGCAGTTGGGGCTTGATGCTCAGTATTCGCCTGTGGCTTCTCATTGCACACACACTGTCAGCGTCATGTGTTCCTCTCTCTTCCAGATTAAAGAAAATGCCCCAATCCATGCCAGAGTACGCCTTAACCAGGAACTACCTGGAGCTCATGTCAGAGCTGCCGTGGAGTAAAAGCACCAGAGGTTAGAGATTTGATGATATGACCATGTGATAATTTGATGCCCCTGTGATAATTTGATGCCCCTGTGATAATTTGATGCCCCTGTGGTAATTTGATGCCCCTGTGATAATTTGATGTCCATGTGGTAATTTGATGCCCCTGTGATAATTTGATGACCATGTGATAATTTGATGCCCCTGTGATAATTTGATGACCATGTGATAATTTGATGTCCAAGTGATAATTTGATGTCCATGTGATAATTTGATGACCATGTGAAAATTTGATGCCCCTGTGATAATATGATGCCCCTGTGATAATTTGATGCCCCTGTGATAATTTGATGCCCCAAGGATAATTTGATGACCATGATAATTTGATGCCCTGTGGTAATTTTGATGCCCCTGTGATAATTTGATGACCATGTGATAATTTGATGCCCCTGTGATAATTTGATGTCCATGTAGTAATTTGATGTCCCTGTGATAATTTGATGTCCATGTGGTAATTTGATGCCCCTGTGATAATTTGATGACCATGTGATAATTTGATGCCCCTGTGATAATTTGATGTCCATGTAGTAATTTGATGTCCCTGTGATAATTTGATGTCCATGTGGTAATTTGATGCCCCTGTGATAATTTGATGCCCCTGTGATAATTTGATGACCATGTGATAATTTGATGCCCCTGTGATAATTTGATGTCCATGTGGTAATTTGATGTCCATGTGGTAATTTGATGTCCATGTGGTAATTTGATGACCCTGTGCTAATTTGATGACCATGTGGTAATTTGATGCCCCTGTGGTAATTTGATGCCCCTGTGATAATTTGCTGTCCATGTGATAATTTTATGCCCCTGTGATAATTTGATGCCCCTGTGATAATTTGATGCCCCTGTGATAATTTGATGTCCATGTGGTAATTTGATGCCCCTGTGATAATTTGATGCCCCTGTGATAATTTGATGTCCATGTGGTAATTTGATGCCCCTGTGATAATTTGATGACCATGTGATAATTTGATGCCCTGTGATAATTTGATGACCATGTGAAAATTTGATGCCCCTGTGATAATTTGATGTCCAAGTGATAATTTGATGTCCATGTGATAATTTGATGACCATGTGAAAATTTGATGCCCCTGTGATAATATGATGACCATGTGATAATATGATGACCATGTGATAATTTGATGCCCCTGTGATAATTTGATGCCTCGTGATAATTTGATGACCATGTGATAATTTGATGCCCCTGTGATAATTTGATGTCCATGTGATAATTTGATGACCATGTGATAATTTGATGCCCCTGTGATAATTTGATGCCCCTGTGATAATTTGATGTCCATGTGGTAATTTGATGCCCCTGTGATAATTTGATGACCATGTGATAATTTGATGCCCCTGTGATAATTTGATGTCCATGTAGTAATTTGATGTCCCTGTGATAATTTGATGTCCATGTGGTAATTTGATGCCCCTGTGATAATTTGATGACCATGTGGTAATTTGATGCCCCTGTGATAATTTGATGCCCATGTGATAATTTGATGCACCTGTGATAATTTGATGCCCCTGTGATAATTTGATGTCCATGTGGTAATTTGATGACCATGTGGTAATTTGATGACCCTGTGCTAATTTGATGACCCTGTGCTAATTTGATGCCCCTGTGATAATTTGATGCCCCTGTGATAATTTGATGCCCCTGTGATAATTTGCTGTCCATGTGATAATTTGATGCCCATGTGGTAATTTGATGCCCATGTGGTAATTTGATGCCCCTGTGATAATTTGATGCCCATGTGATAATTTGATGCACCTGTGATAATGTCCATGTGGTAATTTGATGACCCTGTGCTAATTTGATGACCCTGTGGTAATTTGATGACCCTGTGGTAATTTGATGTCCATGTGGTAATTTGATGCCCATGTGGTAATTTGATGCCCATGTGGTAATTTGATGCCCCTGTGATAATTTGATGCCCATGTGATAATTTGATGCACCTGTGATAATTTGATGTCCATGTGGTAATTTGATGACCCTGTGCTAATTTGATGACCCTGTGGTAATTTGATGTCCATGTGGTAATTTGATGCCCCTGTGATAATTTGCTGTCCATGTGATAATTTGATGCCCATGTGGTAATTTGATGCCCATGTGGTAATTTGATGCCCCTGTGATAATTTGATGTCCATGTGATAATTTGATGACCATGTGATAATTTGATGCCCCTGTGATAATTTGATGCCCATGTGATAATTTGATGCACCTGTGATAATTTGATGTCCATGTGGTAATTTGATGACCCTGTGCTAATTTGATGACCCTGTGCTAATTTGATGACCCTGTGGTAATTTGATGTCCATGTGGTAATTTGATGTCCATGTGGTAATTTGATGCCCCTGTGATAATTTGCTGTCCATGTGATAATTTGATGCCCATGTGATAATTTGATGCCCATGTGATAATTTGCTGACCATGTGATAATTTGATGCCCCTGTGGTAATTTGATGCCCCTGTGGTAATTTGATGTCCATGTGATAATTTGATGACCATGTAATAATTAGCCTGCTGGCCCCAGAAGCCATTCTCTCTGGAGTCCCAGCTTGTACTTTATACATAGACCCAGCGAGCTGGTTTATTCATTCCCAGCTAGTCCGTTACTGAGGGTCTCGTACTGGGAAGTAAAATCCGGTTTTATTGGCAGTTTGCTCAGCCTGTTAGCTCTGCCTACGGGAAAGGCCGACTGAATTGTATAGTTACTTTACTGAAGTAATATTTTATGTAATTTCCCTAACTATCATTGTTTTATGTTGTATTTTAGATACGTTGATTTGAGAGTATTTTGTGGATTTCCGTTTGCGCAGGAGCGATTTACTGAGTGACATAACCTATTCCACAGATAATCCAATTCTCCTAACATGAGAATCCACACACGACCTCTGAGTATCATCCAAGCTCCCCGTGTCCTGTGTCCCATATAGGCACACCCTGTAAATAAATGGAATGCAGTCCAATACATGCTTTCTATAAAGAATTAGAAGTAATGGATGTCACTGTGATATGAAGGCCCAGGCACACTGATATGCAGTGTATAACTGGAGTGATTCTCTGCCTATCCTGTATTTTACCCAACAGTCAGAAGCGCAGGATAAATGTACCGAAGCCATGTTTTGATGGTCTGATGGTGCAGTGAGCAGCCCCCGGCCGCTATAAAACTTCCTGGAGATGTGTGTTTGGTCTTATTTAAAAGTGGTGTTTAATTTATTTAGTTATTTTTATTCTATTCTCTGTATAAATGACATAAACCTCTATAAAACCAATTTTTGTCTGTACCTGGTGGGTGCTAGCTGGTATACAGATTACATTTTGCACTCCCCATAAGCCTGGAAAGAAGACTGGAGGGGGCAGGGTTGAACACCCCTGAGGGTACCAACGTTTGGCGTTTCAGTACGTTAATCCAAGCGGTTTTCTTTTTGAAGTCTCTGTGTGTCCGTCTTTGGCGGTTTATTAACTAAAATGCAAATTGTGAGCTGGAAGCTGGATTTAGGCTAAATATCAGAGCTATAGGTTAATTGGATCATTTTCCAGATCGGCTACGTTCGCTTACATTGTATCTGTTTGTTTTTTCTGTTTATGATTTTGGGGTGTTTAATGAATAAGCCCTATAGAACATGCAGGAGAAGGAAGCTAGCAACGCGCCCAATAAAATCCGTTCTAAACGCTTTATCTGCTGCCTTTCAATCAATATATGGTCACACTGTTTCCATGACACTTTATTAGGTTTGCGTTATGGATTTGTGTCCTGGGATCATCATTCAGGGATCCTAATTGGGCCTCAAACCCCCAGCATTACAGATGGCATGGAGGTACAATGGGGGATACTTTAAATATCTATCTACTTTTAATAGCAATATTAGTCTGTGTAGGAAAATGATCAACCAGCCTGTAGGGGGCAGCAGATGGCAATTGTTACATAATGTGTTTACCAAACCCTTGCTGGACTCTGCTTATCGTCCCATTGGGTCAGATAGCAGGACAGCTACAGTGATACTGTCCAACCTGCGCCTCTATCTCTCAATAACAGAACATTATTATACAGTTTTGTTTGGGCTGAATTTAGGGGACATACAGAATAAAGGATAACTGATGGACCGGTAAAATAATGAAAGATCCGATTGATCAATGTTTATAGAATCCTCGTTCTGATCTGAAGGGATCCAGGGCCGGACTGGGAACTAAAAGCAGCCCAGGAAAAAATTCTATACCAGCCCAATAATGGCATCGCGCCAGCACAGGCGAAAATGCTTCCCCCCCCCCCCCAAAACACACACACAAATAATGAATATTCTCTTGTGTTTTAACCCCCTTTGGAATCTCTTGCCGGTTTTTGTGTCTTTATTCCTTTCTTTTTTTTTTTTTTTTACTTCGTTTCGTGTATCTTGTCTCCAATTTTTCTCCTTTCTGTGTCTTTCAACTTCCCTTGTGTATCTTTTACTTAATCCCAGCCCCTGTGTGTCTCTTTTTACCCTTCTCCAGCCTCTGTATGTCTTCCCCCCAGCCCCTTTTGTGTGTGTCTATGTCCCCCCAACAAACTTTCTTAGTGTCTCTATCTCCCCACAGTCCCTCTATGTGCATCTTTCTCCCCCAGCCCAGCTTTGCTCCCACAAACCTTTTGTGTGTCACTTTGTCCCCCTCCCTTCTGTATGTCTCTTTGTCCCCTCAACAAACCTTCCGTGTGTCTGTTTGTCTCCCCCTAGTCCCTCTGTGTGCCTCTTTCTTCCCGCAGCCCCACTGTGTGCCTTTTTCTTCCCTTAGCCCCTCTGTGTGCCTCTTTCTCCCCCTCACTGCTCCTCTGTGTGTCTCTTTTCCTCCTCTGTCTCTTTCTCCCCCTGTCTCCCCCCTCCTCCTGTGTCTCTGTCTTCTCTCTGCCTTCCCCCGTGACCCCCTCCCCGTGTGTCTCTCTTTCTCAGTGTCTCCCTCCTCCTCATGTGTGTCTCTTCCCCTTCTTTCTCCACCACTCCCCCTCTCTCTCTTCTCCCCATTACCCCTCTGTCGCTCTTCTCCCCCCCTACCCCTCTGTCTCTCTTCTCCCCCCCCTCTGTCCTCGCTTCCTCCCACCCCACTACCCTCACCATTATATAGCTTCCCCACTTTTGCGCTCTGTCTCTTTTTTCTCCCACGCACACCCTCTGTCCATATAGCTGCCACACTACCCTCTGTCTCTCTTCTCCTCCCCTCCCCCTCTGTCTCTCTTCTCCTCCACTACCCCTCTGTCTCTCTTCTCCTCCACTACCCCTCTGTCTCTCTTCTCCTCCACTACCCCTCTGTCTCTCTTCTCCTCCACTACCCCTCTGTCTCTCTTCTCCTCCACTACCCCTCTGTCTCTCTTCTCCTCCACTACCCCTCTGTCTCTCTTCTCCTCCACTACCCCTCTGTCTCACTCTTCCCCCTGTGTGTCTCTCTTCTCCTCCACTACCCGTGTGTCTCTCTTCTCCTCCACTACCCCTCTGTCTCTCTTCTCCTCCACTACCCGTGTGTCTCTCTTCTTTCACTCCCTCCTGTCCTCTCTCTTACTCCTCCACTACCCCTCTGTCTCTCTTCTCCCTCCACTTTACCCTCTATTCTCTCTTCTCCTCCACTTGCCCCTACCCTCTGTCTCTCTTCTCCTCCACTACCCCTCTGTCTCACTCTTCCCCCTGTGTGTCTCTCTTCTCCTCCCCTCCCCCTCTGTCTCTCTTCTCCTCCACTACCCCTCTGTCTCTCTTCTCCTCCACTACCCCTCTGTCTCTCTTCTCCTCCACTACCCCTCTGTCTCTCTTCTCCTCCACTACCCCTCTGTCTCTCTTCTCCTCCACTACCCCTCTGTCTCTCTTCTCCTCCACTACCCCTCTGTCTCTTTCTCCCCCTCCCATTTCTCCCCTTCACTACCCCCTGAGGCTGACCTGTGCAATCCAGCATGGACACATCATTGAGTAATCACTACTCTATGATGTGGCTGTGCTGGGAATTGTGGGAACCACAAGGGAGGATGACCGTCAGGTCTGCCCCCTCCCTCAGTCCTCCTGTGTCATCTGACAGCTGCAAGGCTGTCAGTATTAGTGAGTGTGCTGCCGGACTGGCTAAGCGGCCGGCGGCATCTCCATATGTTACATGAGATGCGACCACCAGCCGCGTTCAATAGTTACATTGCGGCTGGTGGCCGCATCTCATGTAAAACATGGAGGTGCCGCCTAGCCAGTCCAGCGGCACACTCACTAATACTGACAGCCTTGCAGCCCCCTCAGTGTGCCACCGGACCAGCCTCCTGGCGGCACCTACACGCGGCCCGCGACCGCAATGTTACTAAGGCTGGCCGCAGGGCTCCCTCTCTATTGGAGGGAAGAATCAGCGCTGTGCAGCCCCCAGGTGCCGCAGCCAAAGATAACATTCTGTGTACTGTGTGGGCCGCTATGTGTATACACAGTATACACACGGCTCGGTGTGGCAGTTCAGTAATTACTATCCTCGGTAATAGCCATGCATCCTGCGGTCTGTGTGTCACATGGCTGATCGTCTGATATCTGTGTCACGCACAATAGCCGAGCACTGACTGCAGTGATTGTTCGTTGAACTCTGTCTGAATTCCTGGCCTGTTTGTGACTGTGGGAGGATCACAAGTCGGCCATACATGCCTGGCTTTATAAGTGAGCTCCATACTGGCACATGACCAGGGGGTGCTATATCCACAGATTGTAACCCTGTAAGTGCCAAGTTGGGGGGCATACATGGCCTGATTATTAATGGCTTGTCTAGTCTACATACTCTATATATTGCCAGCGCTGGGTGTGGAATGATCTGGGCACATGTAATCTACACCTTCTGTGCCAGCTGTGAAATCTGACCTGGATCCCAGAGCTAGCTATCTGCCGTCTCACTTGGAATAGTTATGCGTCCTTTATTTTCGTGGTTTGCGTTTAAAATGTTCCAAAGATAACATTCCCACAAATGCTGATTTCCTTTTTCATGGAGGTCTGCGTTTCACCATTATTTCAGGAAAGAAAATAAAACTCAGAGAGTGGCAGAAAGCGGAGGGGCTGGGGTGCTGCCAAATCATTGTTTTTGCAAAGCAAGGAGTAAACCGTGTATCCAAGCGGAGAGCCTCATTCTGCTCTGTACAGCAAAGCAAAATAACCCAGACTGGCTTCCCAGGGGAAAGGCTGACATTCCAGCGTGTGACAGAGATACAGCAAATCCGCCCTCGCCTGTACGACTGAATACTGTGCCAGACTAACACTACTAAATTCATTCCTAGCGTTTAATATCCCGGTGTACACGCTACAGATCCTCACTCACACATCCGCTACAGGCTTTATTTGGGTCTAAATTACAATTCTATATATAAATATATTATAGCGTCAACATACTCCTCAGCAATGTACGATAGCGCACAAGATAAAAACATTTAAATCTAACAAAACGTGTGACATACGAGAAGAGTAGGTGAAGAGGGTCCTGCCCAAACAGAGCGTATGCTCTATTTGGCAACTTCCCCAAATTGAGAAATAGTTTCTGTTCTTTTTAGGATAAGAGACCTTAAACATGAAAGAAAAATCCGACCATTGTCCACGTGATTTCATGGAATTTCCTAAGGTTAAATATTTAAATTATTGTTAATAGTTCTATTAGCTATGGAAGCAGGGCTCCTACAGTATTTAAGTAATAACTTTAAGATTCAAAACTTATGTATCCTATCCAGTCTTACTGATCACCATGACGGCAGAGTACAGAGTGATCACCATGACGGCAGAGTACAGAGTGATCACCATGACGGCAGAGTACAGAGTGATCACCATGACGGCAGAGTACAGAGTGATCACCATGACGGCAGAGTACAGAGTGATCACCATGACGGCAGAGTGATCACCATGACGGCAGAGTGATCACCATGACGGCAGAGTGATCACCATGACGGCAGAGTGATCACCATGACGGCAGAGTGATCACCATGACGGCAGAGTGCAGCGTGATCACCATGACGGCAGAGTGCAGCGTGATCACCATGACGGCAGAGTACAGAGAAATCAGGGCTTTCGGGGCCGTGAGAGGAAATAGTATAGTATCTCTGAGAAATCGTATTTATTGCTTTTCTAAACAGATCTGTAAATGCAACATCACTGTGCAAGCAATGGTGTCACCAAACCTGACTGGCCTGCCATCCGCTGAACAAGCAATATGAGCGCTCCCTGTACTCTCCTTCATTTCCCTGCAATATGTTATTAGCGTAAAGCATGGCACTGCCCGTATGTTCTCTCTTTAATTGCTGACTAACAATTGCAGATTGAAAGCGTGTGTAGCTATATATGTGTTTATTCCTTTAACATGCTGTAACGGATTATTCTAATTGCCGGCAGATCGCCTGGATATCCGAGCTGCCAGAGTTCTTTTGGATAACGATCACTATGCCATGGCAAAACTGAAAAGGAGAGTCCTGGAGTATCTAGCGGTCAGACAGCTCAAAAACAACCTGAAAGGACCAATCCTTTGCTTCGTGGGACCCCCTGGGGTGGGGAAAACTAGTGTTGGCCGATCCATTGCAAAAACGCTGGGCAGAGAATTCCACCGGATTGCATTGGGTGGAGTGTGCGACCAGTCAGACATCCGAGGACACAGGTAGGTGGGCGTATCTACTTATTCCTTTCTATATCTCCTCATTCACCTATTGTGTGCATTCTCTATTATCACATTATTCCTGTGCGCATTCTCTATTATCACATTATTACTGTGCGCATTCTATATTATCACATTATTACTGTGCGCATTCTAGATTATCACATTATTACTGTGCGCATTCTAGATTATCACATTATTACTGTGCGCGCTCTATATTATCACATTATTACTGTGCGCATTCTATCTTATCACATTATTAATGTGCGCATTTTATATTACCACATTATTACTGTGCGCGCTCTATATTATCCCATTATTACTGTGCGCATTCTATGTTATCCCATTATTACTGTGCGTATTCTATACTATCACATTATTACTGTGTGCATTCTATATTATCACATTATTACTGTGCGCACTCTATATTATCATATTATTACTGTGTGCATTCTATATTATCCCATTATTCCTGTGTGCATTCTATATTATCACATTATTACTGTGCGCATTCTATACTATCACATTATTCCTGTGTGCATTCTATATTATCACATTATTACTGTGCGCACTCTATATTATCATATTATTACTGTGTGCATTCTATATTATCCCATTATTCCTGTGTGCATTCTATATTATCACATTATTACTGTGCGCATTCTATACTATCACATTATTCCTGTGTGCATTCTATATTATCACATTATTACTGTGCGCACTCTATATTATCATATTATTACTGTGTGCATTCTATATTATCCCATTATTCCTGTGTGCATTCTATGTTATCCCATTATTACTGTGCGCATTCTATACTATCACATTATTCCTGTGTGCATTCTATATTATCACATTATTACTGTGCGCGCTCTATATTGTCATATGATTACTGTGCGCGTTCTATATTATCACATTATTCCTGTGCGCATTCTCTATTATCCCATTATTACTGTGCTCGCTCTATATTATCCCATTATTACTGTGCACACTCTATATTATCCCATTATTACTGTACGCGCTCTATATGATCCCATTATTACTGTGAGCGCTCTGTTATCCCATTATTACTGTGCGCGCTCTATATTATCCCATTATTACTGTGCGCACTCTATATTATCCCATTATTACTGTGAGCGCTCTATGTTATCCCATTATTACTGTGCGCGCTCTATATTATCCCATTATTACTGTGCCCACTCTATTAATTCACTGTGTATTCTCTATCTTTTGTTAGTATGACACGTTTCTGTGCTCTGTGTATGTTCTATGGTGTGCCTCTGTATACAGTATTGGTGAGCCCCGGTCAGTACACTATACCATACGTAGAATGTGGGGTAATTCATTGAAAGCCTTGGGAGACACGCACTGCAGAACCCCAAGATCTAGAAAGATTCTTTGGGATTATTATATAAAGATTACGTTTTTATAGCTTGACAGAAGGCGTGGTATTTACAAGTTTCCAGGTTTCTCATGTAAAACTCCACGATACACAGAATGTACCAGAAACATGTGAGATATAACGTCTCCAAGGGTAACCGTTCTGCAGGGAGCCGCTATTATCCCTGTCTAATTTTATGAAGAGCATGTGGCAATGTTCATCCACACTGAGCCACTACCTGCTGTGAATAGCAGAACACCAGTCATTGTGTGCCCATCGATCATTCTTGGATAGGATTTCAGACTGTCTGCTTATATAGAGATTATACCCTCATACGTCTCATGTCTGTCCATCGTGTCCCCCTCGTACGTCTCATGTCTGTCTATCGTGTCCCCCTCATAGGTCTCATGTCTGTCTATCGTGTCCCCCTCATAGGTCTCATGTCTGTCTATCGTGTCCCCCTCATAGGTCTCATGTCTGTCCATCGTGTCCCCCTCATAGGTCTCATGTCTGTCCATTGTGTCCCCCTCATAGGTCTCATGTCTGTCCGTCGTGTCCCCCTCGTACGTCTCATGTCTGTCCATCGTGTCCCCCTCTTACGTCTCATGTCTGTCCATCGTATCCCCCTCGTACGTCTCATGTCTGTCCGTCGTGTCCCCCTCGTACGTCTCATGTCTGTCCGTCGTGTCCCCCTCGTACGTCTCATGTCTGTCCGTCGTGTCCCCCTCGTACGTCTCATGTCTGTCCGTCGTGTCCCCCTCGTACGTCTCATGTCTGTCCGTCGTGTCCCCCTCGTACGTCTCATGTCTGTCCGTCGTGTCCCCCTCGTACGTCTCATGTCTGTCCGTCGTGTCCTCCTCGTACGTCTCATGTCTGTCCGTCGTGTCCCCCTCGTACGTCTCATGTCTGTCCGTCGTGTCCCCCTCGTACGTCTCATGTCTGTCCGTCGTGTCCCCCTCGTACGTCTCATGTCTGTCCATCGTGTCCCCCTCATACGTCTCATGCCTGTCCATTGGTTCGACGGAGGACAAGCTATCGTTTTATGGCTTTTGCTAAATTCTTGGTGCTTGTGGCTGTTTACCTAAATTACAGCTTAATGTGAACTGAACTCATTGCTGACATGTTTTTTTAAGATATGAACAATGAAGAGCACATGCTGGGAAAAATGCTCAGTGGATCGATGATTGTTTTAGCTGTAGAGCAATTAGCAGGAACATTCCATTGGTTTCCATGGTGATTACGACAGCTGTGGAACAATCAGCAGGAACATTCCATTGGTTTCCATGGTGATTGTATCAGCTGTGGAGCAATCAGCAGGAACATTCCATTGGTTTCTATGGTGATTTGTTGCAGTTGTAGAGCAATCAGCAGGAACATTCTATTGGTTTCTATGGTGATTACCCCAGAATTGTTCTTTAAAACTAACCCCAGGATTCCTAACAGATGCCTTTCTGTCCCAACTATAGTCATTTCTATCTGTAATCGTTTAAACATCTCATTGCTCTTGGCGTGGAGCCATCTTAGAATTGAACTGCACAGAAGGTAAATAGAAAGGCTTTGTCTATAAAGGAATATTAGGTGTTGCGTCACTAACGGTAATAAAGTTCCTGGCAGAGTAGGGTCCGGGTGCAGGTTGTCATGTTTCCGCCACCCGGGAAACTCTGCTACTAATGAACTTCTGGGAAAAACACCAAAAGGGTTATTGTGAATATCCCTGACAACCTTCCTGGCCAAATGCAGCTGCACATGTATTATTTTAGGTGGCAAAAGAAACATACATTGGCATGTGGTGGAGGCTAGCTGTTGTGCCTTGTTGGACCTTGGTTGTCCAGCGGCCCATTTGGTGCAGATGGAATGTCTGATTGACGTGTGATGTAACGCTCCTCGTACAGAAGGTGCTGTATATAACACGCTCTGTATTAACAAACACAACGTTCCACACAGCTGGATAAACTTGTTAAAAGATAAGTACTTCTCTCTGAGAGACGTCACAGAGCTTCGCTTACTATCAGAGCAACCACTGAAAATTAAACTGAAAAAGGTCTGAATTTCTCTTATCTAATCCAGGATCCCCCCTCGCTGAATCCGGGGGGTTGGGGGGCTAGCATTTAATACAGATTCTGGGTGATTCTCCCAATGATCTATATTCATTTCTCCCAAACTGGTTGATTGTTAATGTAACCATAGAGATGTACCAAGCATTTATCAATTTTTATACCAGAAGGAGAACCTAATACAGATTCCTGCAGGACATATCTGATTTAGATTGTAAGCTCTTGTGGAGGAGCCTATGGTCATTACTAGCAGAGCAATCCTGTTAAAACAGACTTTTTCAGTATCTTTGGAAGAATTTTTTTATTATAAGTGTTGAATTATTCCCTGGCCACAGCGCTGCAGTATGTGTGCAATGTCCATGTCTGTATCACAGAGCTTACACTCTAATGATGACGACTCCTGTACATTATGCATTAGCCATGTTTATTGTATAGTGTGTTGTTTCCGAAGCCCTGTTCACTGTCTGTAACGTTTTTACTCATTTTTCTTATGCTTGCTGCAGGCGCACGTATGTTGGCAGCATGCCCGGCCGTATCATCAACGGGTTAAAGACTGTTGGGGTGAATAACCCGGTTTTCCTCCTGGATGAAGTTGATAAGTTGGGGAAGAGTTTACAGGGGGATCCGGCAGCCGCCTTGCTGGAGGTGAGTCTCTGTTAGTATCCTGGGTAGTGGTGGGGCCCCTCGATGTCAGGAGAAGTGATAAGGCCAGTTAGATTGTAAATTCTGTTTCTGATGTCTGTAAATAGCTGCATCTGTCACACCTCGAGAGCAGTAACAGGACTGTGTAATTTGTATTATTAGAGTTTACACAAGTCTAATTATAAAAATGCATTCCAAAATCACAAGTCAACCACTGCAAATCATGCAGATTACGGGCTGCAATATGCTTTAGAGGACCCTTTTTTAAAAAAAATTATTTTTCTGTAACAATTTCCCTCTGCGAGATCTCTTAAAACTGCCAGCTTCACAGTGGCTAGGAAGTGGCGGAACATTTTTCAGCCAATCGGTGCTCTACATACACATTTATAGTTACATTGAAATTGTACGTGAAATTACATTGTGTGAAGTCCTAGCACCGATCATGGGGTCATAACGCACTCAGACCAACGCTGTAGGTGCGCGAACGTACTGTTTGCACACAGATACCTCTCTTTTTGTAGCTGCCATCAGCAAGCCGTAACAGGTTGAGAAATGGCGCAGAAGGAGGAGTTAATTTCTATGGTTTCTTCTATCTCCAGAGCGCGCACCGCGCGTGATATCTCCAGAGCGCGCACCGCGCGTGATATCTCCAGAGCGCGCACCGCGCGTGATATCTCCAGAGCGCGCACCGCGCGTGATATCTCCAGAGTACCCGTTACACTGTGTGTATGATAGCTCCAGCGTACACATGGCACGGTTTGCCGCGCATTTCCCGTGAGCTGCTATTTCTGTCTGGTTTGTAGTTGGGTGATTCCTCTGATCATTTTCATCTTACTCCTACATCCCATCATAGACACACAATGTCAGAGAGGAAGTGGGGGAGTTTTGGAACAAATGAAATCTGGGGAGGCTGAATCGTGGGCTTTGTGTAAAACTGAAATTGTCTGATCGAATTTCAGCACTTAAACTGTGTTAAGAGCATTAGAGGCTGGGCCATAGGACAATTATAGGAAAATTAGCAGAGCTCACTTTTTATATGGTGTATCCTTATTATTCATTGTTCTATAATTTCTGTATTATACAGAGTGTGGTCTGACCCCTACTAACTCTGTATTGTAAGCCTTCGTATGATATTACATAGAGTCCATTAAATGGTTCTTTCCGCCCCTTGTATAAACCTGATATTTCTGTGACGTCATCAATATTTAAATATTATTTTATTATTTATATAGCGCCAGCAAATTCCATAGCGCCATACAATGGGAATATTAATTCGCTTAAGGGGATATCCTGTTCCCAGTGTGGAATCAACCTAGGAAATCGCTCTGACCATACAAAACTCACATCTTCATATCTGTGTTTGAGTGACGTAAAGAAGGGATATGGAGAGATTGCCACATCTCCATGAGAACGAGACTAATTAATCAATAAAGTAATCGATCAATAAACTGGATATAATGGTTTCCGTGGAAGACCTAGAATACAGGTTATCCTACTAGATCCCGTTAGAACGTGTGTGAAATGCTTTTCATTGTGGTAATTACAGAGCACCAACTTGTGCCACGGCGCTGAATGTTGTCTTTGTATTTAATAACCCCCCCAGCTCCCCAGGGGGATTGCTGTGAACTGACTATTATTTGCTCCTGTTGAGCTTTGTGTAGAAGTTGTGTCTGGCCCTGGGGGCCCCTGAATCAGCAGCTGGTCTTGATCTAACTCTATTTGTTTGTTTCCTGCACGCTTATTTCTAACGTTCCAAACTGCTAACGTGGGATTATGGACACAGCCAGTCCATTCCACATCAGAGGATAGATCCCGAGATCTGCCATGCCCCCACTTCTTTACTGATAATCTTGGTTGGCTTTTCAGAAGCTAAGCTCTCATTCTGCCAAGCTCACTATTGACTGGATAAGAGTGCTGATAGTTGCCCCTGGTTTAGTATGCCTGCTGGTCATACTCTTTGCACCCTGTGCGGCTGTTTACGCAGCTGCCTCCGAGGTCCTCAGGTTACCATGCGATGATGTGAACGCCGTGAAATGCGATCTTTTCATTGGCTTCAAACACAGAGACGATGACGGCCAGTGTGTCAGTGTGTGCACCCAGGACTTGGTTTATACAGTGTGGGCGTTGCAGCCAGGCCTCCAACATATTCTGATATACAGCTAAACATTGTCTACCAAGAATTTGGGTTTATCTATTAACTCGCTCTCTTATTTGCATCCTACTCCAGCCATTCTTGTCCCCAGACCTGAGTGAGCAGTGATTGTGTGTTGACGTTGTGCATTCTGTGTGGATTCAGGGCACTATAAGAGCATATAAAGCGACAGACACACTAGATTGGCCGACGTGCTATAGCAGCCCCGGTGTGTTATGTCTTGTACAAGCTATATAAGTGGGATCCAGTAATCTGCCCTGTCAGTGTACTTTCAAATCCTTTTATTTGCATGTGTTTATAAATAGAGCTTGTGTGAGGAGGGGGATCTGTCATTTTTGCATGTTTTCAATCCAAAGAATGATTTTTTTCACATGACATGAAATAGAATTGCTCACAGTGTAAAGATGTGCAAGCTCAAAGCCAGTTCTGAGAATTCTCAGCTTAGTAAATAAACCCAGAGTGGAGTCCTAACATGTAAACCTACCAGTATTGCTTGCAGAATATTAGCAGAACTTTCTGGTCTGTGATTAAATGGCAAACATGGCCAGTACATGTGACAATGTCGCTGGAATTCCTCTTACTTCCTGTCCTCGAAGTCATTAAGGAAAACAAATTATCTTCCTGTTTGCCATCTCCACTGAACAACCAGGACATTGTTCTAATTTTAGGTGACCTTTTTTTATACTTTTCAGAAGGGCGTATTGCATCCAAGTGTTCAACAGAGAGGGTGTTTATTCCCCGTTAGACGGTGCGAGTGGAGAGACAGGCCATTCCGTTTAATAAGTCTTTCCGATCTCGGAAGTTATAAAATATTACACACTGAGCGTTGTGTGTTTTTGGGGAACACTCTGCCGGCGCTGGTAACTGCAACATATTCATACGGTGCCAGAAAGGCTCTTTTCAGTTAATCCTCCCAAATTGCCTTCTCTCCATACATGCATATTCTGCTTTATACCATACACTAAAAGTCATGTGTTGGGATTTTAAGATGCTCACAACTTTGCCTTGGCAAATGCATGTTGTGTTTGTATCGTTCTTGAATGTTCATCGAATGCAGGAAACTTTTTTTAAACCCTATGGGGTGCACAAAACGTTAGCATTATCGGTGTTTCCCAGAGGTTCTGTTGTGGTCATTTTGTATATTTATTTATCATGTCTTATCTAGAGTGCTTTATAATTTATTAAAAAATAACACTGGTAATTGTACAAACGGGATACATGATTGGACACACTGAAACAAAAGGAATAGAGAGCCCTGCCAGTGAGCTTACAATCTAGAGGGGAGAAAATTCAGTAATCAGTCAGAAATCCAGACTGGGTATGACTGATATAGTGGGGGTACGGCTGCCCTCTGTGATTTGAAATAATATGAGCAAGCAGGACATTATACGACCTTTATGGCTTGTATTTTATGTAGTCCTATTCGCCCCTGGTGTGACCACGCGGGCCATTTATAGAATGTGAAGATACAGAAAGGGTCTGATGGGCATCCTCCATATTACCTGCGCCTGGCTGAATGCTAGCTGTGCCAGCCCAGCGCTCTCCCTCCGGGTCGTGAGAAACCGATCCTTGTTTATAATCCTGCACCAGTGAAATATGATGATCTGCTGAAAAAGAACATCTCCTATTTCTCTTAGCCATTGTATTTATTATGAAATGGGAATCCTGTTTTTGCTTACTTGCGTTTGTTCGGCCCCTGCATTCCTGGTGTGAATTCCATCACATTGTACATTGAGCAGCTGTGAGAGTATCTGGGGACTGATGCTCGGCTTCATATAGCACACAGTAAGGAAAGCCGTTAGCTTGGGTCTGAATGCAGAGCCTGGATTAGAAGATCACAGCATTGTCTCACGCTGGACGATAATATAGTGACTGTAAATATCGCACGTTAAATGGCCAGTCTGGGAACACTACACAGCTCACATTAGTGCAAGATAACATGCTAACTAAGACTAGATCAACCTTTCTGCTGCTTCAACAAGATTGTGCAATACGTGTCCTTCTGTAACATTACATTATCAAGGAATGTCTTCTCTAAAGTGATAAACTGGAGTCAGCTGTAGTGCATTCAACGTAAACATTCCATTGGTTTCCACGGTGATTGTATCAGCTGTAGAGCAATCAGCAGGAACATTCCATTGGTTTCACGGTGACTGTTTCAGCTGTAGAGCAGTCAGCGGGGACATTCCATTGGTTTCCACGGTGATTGTTACAGCTGTAGAGCAATCAGCGGGGACATTCCATTGGTTTCCATGGTGATTGTTTCAGCTGTAGAGCAATGAGCAGGAACATTCCATTGGTTTCCCTACTGATTGTTACAGCTGTAGAGCAATCAGCAGGAACATTCCATTGGTTTCCATGGTGATTGTTTCAGCTGTAGAGCAATCAGCAGGAACATTCCATTGGTTTCCATGGTGATTGTTTCAGCTGTAGAGCAATCAGCAGGAACACATTCCATTGGTTTCCATGGTGATGGTGTTTACAGCTGTAGAGCAATCAGCAGGGACATTCCATTGGTTTCCATGGTGACTGTTACAGCTGTAGAGCAAAAAGGAAATTTAATTTAGTTGTAGTATAACTCCTGTGGTTGGGGGATAACCCCTAAGTTTAATCAAATTACAAAAAGCAAAGCAGAGCAGGAGTATGAACGGTGGAGGAAAAGCCAGGTATGCCCAGTATATAGAAAGTGTAAAAGAAGGAGAATGGCTAGTGGATATGTTAAAATATCACTGTTAATTGTTTATAGTTAAAATAATAACTCTTATTGTACTAAAACCACCGCCATAATCTAAAACACCAAAGAGTTGTATAGATAAAGGGTAGCAGACAGGATCACTGTTAGTTGTAGTACAGTGCTACGACTAGAGAATCCAATAAAGGGAATAGTCTATTAGAACTGTTAGTGCTCCATTGCCGGTAACTGAAGCTACTATAACGGTCTCCAAAAGTATGTGAATTGACTATCTATGTCTCTAGTAAACATTTGTCTGAGTGCCAGATCGTGGATCCTCTGCTTCGTGTAAATTGCTACTGTCGATATAGCGAACCGACAATGTGAGCTTGTCGCCTAACAGCCCGAGATCATAAGCAATCTATGACTATATTATGGATCCTTGTACACTAATCAGATGGACTCAGGGAGAGGAGTGAAACAGAAGGTATTACATGTAGCTAGCTGTTCAAATAATTAATGTAACTATAATAGCTAACTGTTATAACGCTAGCAGTTGAGAGCAGAGCATGGGGGGGCGATTGTCCGCTGAAGATAAATTAAAGGGAGGATGTCTAGCTTACGTAGTTGGTACCTTATGCTATTCCCTATTCTGTACCTTCAAGGGCACCAGGGGCGGACTGACCACTCGGGCACATCGGTCATGGACCGAGGGCCCGTGGCAGTCAGGGGCCCGGGGCAGCTATGGCTGGGCTTGGAAGATTAGATGATTTCCCCAACCAGCCCAGCATCAAGGCAGCAAAGTTAGTGAGACCAGTTCCCCAGTGGGTGCGCCCTTTGTTAGAATAGAGGCTGGGATAGGGAGTGCCATCACATCCCCTCCTCGCTCTTACACAGATACAGGGCGCCCACCGCATGTGTGAAGGGGGAGGAGCAGCTGTGATGGTAACAGTGACATGCTGCTCAGGGGAGGACAGGGAGTCAACCTGAACAGACTGAAATGCAAGGTATGATGGGGCATGATAGCAGTGTAGGCACCAGAGGAGGGCTTGGGGAGGAGGAGGAGGATAATTTGAAGGAATTGGGGGCATGGTTAGATCAAACAAAGGGTGACTGCAAAATAAGTAGACTTACCAAACACTCACCAAATTTTTACATACATACAAGATGAATATTCTTGTTCTTGGGTAGAACATTGGCTTAAGGATAGAGTACAACGAGTTGTAATTAATGGTAAATTTTCAGGCTGGACAAAAGTGGTAAGTGGTGTCTCTCAGGGTTCTGTTTTGGGACCACTTCTATTTAACATATTTATAAATGATCTTGAAATAGGCATTGAAAGCCATGTATCAGTGTTTACAGATGACACAAAACTTTGTAAAGTAATAAAATGTGAGCAGGATATTGCTTTGCTGCAGAGAGATTTGGATAGATTGGGGACTGGGCACTAAAATGGCAGATGAAGTTTAACATAGAGAAATGCAAAGTTATGCACTTCGGGGTTAAGAATGCACAAGCAACTTACACACTAAATGGTAGTGAATTAGGGATAACCACACACGAGAAGGATTTGGGAATTGTTATAGACAACAAATTAGGCAGCACTATGCAATGTCAATCTGTAGTTGCTAAGGCCAGTAAGATTTTGTCATGTATAAATAGGGGCATAAATTCTCAGGATTAAAATATAATTTTGCCTCTTTATAAATCATTGGTAAAACCACACCTTGAATATGCTGTGCAATTTTGGGCGCCTGTTCTAAAGAAGGATATCATGGCCCTGGAGAGGGTCCAGAGACGAGCTACAAAATTGATAAAAGGAATGGAGCATTTTAGTTATGAAGAAAGGTTAAAAAAATTAAATCTGTTTAGTTTGGAAAAACGGCGCCTGAGAGAGGATATGATAACTTTATACAAATATATTCGGGGCCAGTACAAACCTTTATCTGGAAATCTATTCATAAACAGGGCTATACATAGGACACGAGGTCACACATTTAGGCTGGAAGAAAGGAGATTTCATCTAAGGCAAAGAGAAGGTTTTTTTACAGTAAGAACAATAAGGATATGGAATTCTCTGCCTGAAGAGGTGTTTTTGTCAGAGTCCATACAGATGTTTAAACTGAAATTGGATAAATACTTACAAAAACATAACATACAGGGATATAATTTCTAATTAGTGGGGTAATAGCTGCTTGATCCAAGGAGACATCTGACTGCTATTTTGGGGTCAAGAAGGAATTTTTTCCTAGTTTGTGGTAAAATTGGAAGTGCTTCTGACCAGGTTTTTTGTCTTCTTTTGGATTAACAGCAAAAACATATGTGAGGAAGGCTGAACTTGATAGATGCAAGTCTCTTTTCAGCTATGTAACTATGCAATCAGACATGCACTCAAACTGACACACACAATCTCACACACACTGACATGCCATACAAATCTAGGGGGGGGCATCAAGGCAAGTACCCTCAGAATGTCCTGGGAAGCTGCTGTCCAAATTTCCTCCTCTCTCATACCCCTCCCATCCTCCTCCCACCCCCCCTCTATGAACATAAAACACAGCCCCCTGGCAGCTTCTCCCTTAGATCTTCACCCCTTAAACAAGCTGCAGGGGCTAAAGTCAGCAGCACCTCCGCCCCCAGCTTCAACCATGTGGCCATGCTGACCGGAACAAGCTGGGAGACTAGGAGCAACTTGCAGCTCTTCAACCACAGCAAGGGGTGAGAGACAGTGATCTTGTGTGTGCTAGTGTGCTGTGTGTAGTGACCTTCTGTGTGCATGTTGTGAGCTGTGTGTGTGTGTGTGTCAGTGAGCTGTCTGTAGTGCACTGTGTGATCTTGCGTAATTGGGTATATTAGTGAGCTGTTTTTATTGAGCTTGTTTGTATCCAAAAGCTTTGTGCAGTGATTTTTCTGTAGTGAGCTTGTGGCTGAGCTTGAGAATATGTCAGTGAGCTTGTGTGTAATGACATTGTGTACATATCATTGAGCTGTCTGTGGTGAGCTTGGGATCTTGTGTGTGTGTGTCAGTGAGCATTCTGTAGCGCGATGTGTGTAGTAAGCGTGTGTGCGCATCAATGAACTGTCTATAGTGAGCTCTGTAAGTTTGTGTGTAGTTAACTGCTTGTGCATTTACACCCTACTGGAAGTATGTATATTCAAAACAGCACATGCATTGAAGCGGACAAAGTGCAACAGTGTTTACGATGATTATAACACTAAGATACAAACATGCCTTCATACACATACCCTCACACTATATACAAATAAAAAAATGCACACTTGTTTGAAACATAAGGGGCCCTATAGGGGACTTTGCCCAGGGGCCCAGAAGGCTGTCAGTCCGCCCCTGAGGGCACCCCTTGATATAAAGCCTGTTTTCTATAAGATATATACAAGCCCTATTCCCACCCGCTGTTCTATTGAATAAGTAATTGCTAGCAAATAGTAGTCTGATTAGAAAATCTGGTAAAGTTACTTCTGAGAATAGTGTGGATAGTAGGAACACTCTCAATGTCTGATTACCAGCAGAGTGTACTTGTCAGAGCCCCTGACGCGCGTTTCACATCGTGGCTCATCAGAGGGGAGCAATCAGCGGTAACATTCCATTGGTTTCCATGGTGATAGTTACTGCTGTAGAGCAATCAGCAGGAACATTCCATTGGTTTCCATGGTGATTGTTACAGCTGTACAGCAATCAGCAGGAACATTCCATTGGTTTCCATGGTGATTGTATCAGCTGTAGAGCTATCAGCCGGAACATTCCATTGGTTTCTATGGTGATTGTTACAGCTGGAGAACAATCAGTAGGAACATTCCATGGTGGAATCCATGGCTGCTGTGGGAACTCTTTATGCTTATACTTTTCATAGACCATTCTGTGGATATAATAAAAGAAGCACTTTCAGATTTAACGTGTTATTTAATTTGGGCGACAGTTATTTTAAAATAATTTTAAAGGCTGTTTGTCTAATGAGCATATTTTCCCTCTGCCCTCCCTTTCTAATGGGATTTCATGCTCTCGTTGTCTCTGTCCACTCAAGTACCGGTAGGAAATGTACACAATGGTGTTTTTCACACAGTCTTCATCTTGTCTTTATTATAAAGGTCCTGGATCCAGAGCAAAACCACAGCTTTACAGACCACTACCTAAACGTGGCCTTTGACCTGTCCCAGGTCCTCTTTATAGCCACGGCCAATACAACAGCAACTATTCCACCTGCCCTGCTGGACAGAATGGAGGTTCTGGAGGTTCCAGGTAAATACATCTTCTGAGATTTCTGTGTCTGTAGCGGATGTGTTGAGTAGACGTTTTGCCATCAAACAATATTTGTCAATGTTCTGGAAATTGACGGGCAATCTATAAGGGATATTACTGGACCTGACACCCGTGTATTCAGTCATTATATATTACAATAACCATGGCAGCTCAGATGTTTTAAACTCCATTTAAAGATTGCTGGGCATCTTGGGAAACATTAGGTGTGCCAAGCTACCACTGGTATTTACAGTGATATGGCAAGACCTCGGCACCTGCTTGGTTCTTTCTTATAAAGCTGCCGTCACATTGTGACCGAGACGTATAATTTCTTTGTCTACCACCCCTCCTGAGCGACTGATCCATGCATTCCGAACTCAGATTAGATTATCTCCTTGTTGTGATCTGAGAAACCTTGTGCTTTCCAGGATACAGTCAAGAAGAAAAGCTGGAGATCGCCCATCGTCATCTGATCTCCAAACAGCTGGTGCAGCATGGTCTGACCCCAGAGCAGGTCCAGATCCCACCAGAAGCCACACTGGAGATTATCACCAGGTGAGCACACAGCATGGCACAGCTTCATTTATCAACTTCCTTTAATTTGTATTCCAGTTTTGGGGGTTTTTTTGTATTTCATTCTGGGTTGTTTTTTATTTTTGCCCTGCTCAGTCCTCTGGCCTTTCTATGTGTAAGCAATGCTGGATTCATAATGTCTAACCACACGGGAAGGGGGCTTACATAGTGTGTCATCCCTTTCAGTCATTCACTCAGTTTAGTTTTCTTTTCATTCAGGTAGCTATTTATTACATTAAAATCGGAGACGGATGTTATTTTGCTTGTCTTTCCCTTTTCATTTCCATAGCTGTCAGTAATTGTCCATACATTGTGCAGTTCACGCTGGAAATGCTGCGATGTGTTATCTAATACTCATAGTAATTATTTATAACGGGCCAGCTCAGCTGCAGTGCAGGTATTGGCTATGTCCGAGTATCTCAGTGATATCCTGCTCTGTCAGAGTGTCCCGGGGATATCCTGCTCTGTCAGAGTGTCCCGGGGATATCCTGCTCTGTCAGAGTGTCCCGGGGATATCCTGCTCTGTCAGAGTGTCCCGGGGATATCCTGCTCTGTCAGAGTGTCCCGGGGATATCCTGCTCTGTCAGAGTGTCCCGGGGATATCCTGCTCTGTCAGAGTGTCCCGGTGATATCCTGCTCTGTCAGAGTGGGGATATCCTGCTCTGTCAGAGTGATATCCTGCTCTGTCAGAGTGGGGATATCCTGCTCTGTCAGAGTGTCCCGGGGATATCCTGCTCTGTCAGAGTGTCCCGGTGATATCCTGCTCTGTCAGAGTGTCTCGGTGATATCCTGCTCTGTCAGAGTGTCTCGGTGATATCCTGCTCTGTCAGAGTGTCTCGGTGATATCCTGCTCTGTCAGAGTGTCCCGGTGATATCCTGCTCTGTCAGTGTACTGGTGATATCCTGCTCTGTCAGAGTGTCCCGGTGATATGTACCGGTTTCGTTCAGGGTGTCTGGCTATATTTCTAGCTATAATGATTGTTTATTTTCAGGTATACTCGGGAAGCTGGTGTGCGCTCGCTAGACCGCAAACTTGGAGCCATTTGTAGAGCAGTCGCTGTTAAAGTGGCAGAAGGACAGCACCGGGAAACAAACTCAGCGCACACGGATGGCGAAGGTTGGAAATTATGGATATAACGTTTGCACAGTTAACCCTCATTTATACATAAATGATTCTATTTATTTCCCATTATTCTCTCTGGTTATGTCCAGCAGATTTCCTGTAAGATGAAGCCTTGCTGGATGACTGGGGTGATGGCAGAGCTAGGTGTAAATTAGTGTGGGAGACTGTAGCTATAAAGGAAATAAGGCAGTGTATGAGGAGTTAACGCATGGGAGATGCAATGTGAAGTTTTTAACCAATTTGGGAATATATTTTTTAAAAATCAGCATTCAATTGTAAAAAGTGAACATGGCGTTGGTCATGTGACCTCTTCCAGCAAGTGGATGTGCTCAAACAGCGTAGGTCTAGCTGATTAGCCAGGTTTCCTTCACCTGGAGACTGTCCCTACCTCTGATAACCAGATTTTCTTATATCACCGGTATTAATAAAATACTAGATCTGAAATAGATTTTGTTTATTTTCAGAGGTCGCTAACATTTACTCAACCTATGGGAACACTCTGTGTTTAGCCAGCTGAACCGGAGCCAGTAATTAGAGCTCGTATCTGTTACACATGGCAAAGGAGCTGTTCCCGACTCGTTAATATTTCACGCGTTGCTAAATACACTCCTTGCGGCAGACTTCGTTCTACCAGCTGAAACCATTCATGGTTATTTATTAAACCCTGACATTTTACAGATTAAATCCGAATGGCAAAACTGAGGCAGGATGGCCTTAATTCACTATAATTCCGAGTTTAGCAAATAACCCTGTCTGTGTTATATTGTGTGTGTTTATTGCATACTTTGTATTTATTGCTCCTACTTGGTGGACACATGGACCTCGATTTAATATTGTTGGATAAACTTCTAACATTAATATTTTGATAGAATTTCTACATTTACATCGTATCCTGTGCCTGTATCCCCCTATCCTGGATAAGGGGTTGATGGAATCTAAATGCTTATGATGAAGATTGAATGTACAGGGGATTTTTGGCATCTCTAATATTGGAGAGGTCACGAGAAAACCATTCTATTCCAGTATTACATTCATTAAATTATCTGTAACGGATCACCTGTACTCCGACTGGGTACCTTCCGTTGACGGACGCTTCCTGGATTGCGCCGAGGACCATAAGCACCGCACCGGACACCACAACCACCGCAGACTCCACAACCGCTGTAGCTTAACTGGAGTCTCACCGCCTTCTCCTCTCCTCCAGGAGAGCGTATCAGGAACAGCTCTTAAAAGAGCTAAGTGATACCTGCATATTTCATTATAAGCAAATAATTACTTAGCTATGAAACTCGAAGTTATATATATATATATATATATACACACCTCACCTAGCATGTCAAACATACACTCAACTACCATATGCCATAGCCTAACCCGTTTATACTTTGCAATCTAGCTATAAGTAAAAATGAGGCATTGTGAATCGACAAATGTTTAAACGTTTATTGCATGATATATAAAATACAAAAATGTTTGTGCATGTCAAACGAATGTGAAGCTGTACCAGAGAACTGCCTTTGGGGCACCTCGGGGTTCTATGTAACTCTCTACTGCACCTCAAAAATAAAAAAATAAATAAAAAAAAGAGCTAAGTGATAAGGGCTCAGGGGAGTATATAAAAGTATATAGCAATCCCCAGTGTGATTATAGCAGTTCTCCTCCAATCACGAGACAAGACTACGCGTTGAGGGTCAAACAGGAAAAGAATGCACTGAGACTTTATTGCTCTTATATACACCTTTTCCCACAAGGTTACCACCCACGTGGACCTTGTGGTACACAGGACTCAGAGTTACAGCAACCAATCAAACACATTACAGTGCAGTCAGACACTCCCACCCAAGGCACACAAACCCTCCCATCTGCCTGTGATATAATGACTAAACACAATGGGCTAACTTAATTATCACAGGCAGGAAAATATACAGTTTTACCCAATATTCATAACTTCAAAACTATACATACAATTTCCATAGTTACTGTGACGAAGTGCCCTTCGCCACTTGTGCCTGGAGAGGACTGTTTGCCGCCTCTTGCCCTGTGACTATGGACCCTGGGAGATTTGGCCCGTTCAATTCAGTATGTTAGGAGTTATGTATTTTTGTATCCTTTTGCGTTTTACTGGGAACATGTGCTCAATGGAGTCTGCTTCTATCCCTGGATAATTGGATTACTTTCCCCATTGTCTCCAGGCTAGAGGGCTCTGTAAAACCAGTTTGGGCCAGATATCCATGCTGCCAGCCAGGCCCCAAAATATACTTTACTAACTTCTGAACCCCTGGTCTGATTCATGCCATTTTTTGACATGTTGTTTCCCTGAATGGATTGATTGTGAATATATAATTTTAGACGTTATGAATGCTGTAAAAACGGTATTATTTCTGGCCAGCAGATAATTGATCTTTGTGTATTGTAGAAACTCAATTATCTAGCCTGACCCAGAGGAGGAGTTTTGTGTTGCATAAATTGAGTTCTGTGTGCCAGTAAATCAGTCTTGTTCCAGCATTAAGCCTTGGCTCATGTTTGGGGGATTGGAGAAATACACTCTGGGGATTGTTATAATCACTATAGTCCCCACGGTATGATCACTAAGTTCTGCTAAGAGCTTGTTCCTGTTCCTGCTCTCTGGGTAAAGAGAGGTTCACCCACTGGAAGCTGGATCCTGGCCTTGGGTCCAGGGTGGGTGGAGACAGCAGAGACCCCGGCACAGTTGCATCGCTGGAAGTGGGGTCTGCAGTGCTGATGGTGTCGGTTGGAGTGCTTGGAGTCCTCAGCAAGCACTAGGAGCATCGATTGGCGGAGGTACTCAGTCGGAGTGCCAGCGGTCCGTCACATTTACATATTCTGAACCAGCATAATCAGTATACAAACATATTCAAAAATCATACAATTTGGTCCAGTGGTTCAAAAGATAGATGGAAGTCCTATTTGACCGACTGCAAGCATGGCTTTCATGCCCAAAACAGTTCCACAGATTTAGGCTGTGCAGCCGGTCTATCTTCTCCTCTATCCTGGAGATAATTGGCTTAAGTGGGTGTGGTAAGCCAATTATCTCCAAGTACAGAAAATATCTCTAAGTCCAAAACCTGTTACAAAAACTACATAAAAATACTTAACTTATATAATACTATGTTTAACCTATATGTCCAATATATTCCCAGATAGCTTGGATCTGAGCGCTCAATATGTTCAAAAAGTGCTCAGATGTCACGAATACAGTTGGATCGCCATGGGGTTAAACAATAACAAGGGCTGATGAGAGATTGAGGAGGGACAAAGCAGCCAGTTTCAACTGGTCTGGTAGTGTCCCTGGGACAACGCCCTGCTGGAGAACAATGGGACAGGAAAAAGGGGGAGGGGAAGAGGCACATTCTCCCATGGAATCAAAGGGGCAGAAACAGTGCAATAAAATCCAATATGCCCAAATAACGTTTTTAAAGGGCAATCTCTACCAGGGGCCATAGTCACAAGGCAAGAGGCTGGCAATTAGTCCTCTCCAGGCACAAGTGGCGAAGGGCACTTCATCACATTATCCCTTGCTCGTTAAGGGGGTGATGAAGGAATAGGGGGAGTAGAGGTTAAATAGACTGTAATGGGAGGTGGAAGGTGACTGGTAAAACACATTCATTATAGAACAGTTACTCTGTATATAGGATTGTAACCTGGACTAGCTCTCCATTTATGCCGCCAGCTGTCTCCCAATGCAAGCAGAGATCGTAGCGTGTATGTACAGGAATAATAAACGAGTCTGGTGCTGTATACATTAAGTGCATTGTATGAAACAAAACTTACCAAACTTGTGCCAATTCCAAGAAATGCCAGGTCAAGTCTCAGAGGGTCAACGGCTAGCATTCCTGCCATGTAGTCAATAGCCACATAGATTACATACTGCTGAAGAAATTTATATAATCTATATTGTGATTAACACGCCAGGCCAATGGTCTATGTAATTGTAAAGGGCACTGTTCTTAAACTCTTTGACTACTTACTCCCTGCTGGGGATATATTGGTTATAGTGCTCTGAGTGTTCCTTTAACTAAAACTCAATACCTTTTATACTATGGGATATGGACATTACAGGCCTGTAAGGTGACATCTTAAAATAAGCTGCAAAGCTTTGTTTTTGTTCTAAACTAACGTAACATAAGTGGCTCCATCTAAGATGGATGCATTTTAAAGAGTTCATGAGATGTACAATATTGTCAGTGATATTACCTGCTTGAGCTGTTACTTAGAAACCGTTTTAATTCCTTGATCGCGTGCTGACCTTTTGACAGACCATTCTGTGGAAATGATGTTGTGATGATATTTGAGACCTTTTCCTAGCACAAAGAGGGTGGCTGTACCAGAGCCTTTAAAGTGGTTGAGATGTAGGATATCACAGTGAAGAGCAGACAGCCCAACGCACAGAAGCAAAGATGGAGGCTCCGTGGTCTGCTTGATGTCTGGTTCAGGTGGAAGATGTCCTCTCCGTGGTTTGCTCAACGTCTGGCTCAGATGGAAAATGGCCGCTTCATGGTTTGCTTGATGCCTGCTTCAGGTAGAAGGACTCTCCGTGGTTTGCTTGATGTCTGGTTCAGGTGGAAGATGTCCTCTCCGTGGTTTGCACAATGTCTGGCTCAGATGGAAAATGGCCGCTTCATGGTTTGCTTGATGCCTGGTTCAGGTGGAAGATGTCCCCTCCGTGGTTTGCTCGATGCCTGGTTCAGGTAGGATGCTCCATGGTTTGCTCGATGCCTGGTTCAGGTGGAAGATGGCTGCTTCGTGATTTGCTTGATGCCTGGTTCAGGTGGAAGATGGTCGCTCTGTGATTTGCTCAATACCTGGTTCAGGTGGAAGATGGCCACTCTGTGGTTTGCTCAATGCCTGGTTCAGGTAAAAGATGGCTGCTCCATGATTTGCTTGATGCCTGGTTCAGGTAGGACGCTCCGTGGTTTGCTTGATGCCTGGTACAGGTGGAAGATGGCCGCTCTGTGATTTGCTCGATGCCTGGTTCAGGTGGAAGATGTCCTCTCTGTGGTTTGCTCGATGCCTGATTCAGGTGGAAGATGGCAGCTCTGTGGTTTGCTCGATGCCTGGTTCAGGTTAAAGATGGCTGCTCTGTGGTTTGCTCGATGCCTGGTTCAGGTAGAAGGACGCTCTGTGGTTTGTGCGATGCCTGGTACAGGTGGAAGATGGTCACTCTGTGGTTTTCTCAATGCCTGGTTCAGGTGGAAGATGGTCACTCTGTGGTTTTCTCAATGGCTGGTTCAGGTGGAAGATGGCCGCTCTGTGGTTTGCGCAATGCCTGGTTCAGGTAGAAGATGGCTGCTCCGTGGTTTGATCGATGCCTGGTTTAGGTAGAAGATGGCTGCTCCGTGGTTTGCTCAATGCCTGGTTCAGGTAGAAGATGGCTGCTCTGTGGTTTGCTTGATGCTTAGTTCAGGTGGAAGATGGCCGCTCCGTGGTTTGCTCGATGCCTGGTTCAGGTGGAAGCACGCTCTGTGGTTTTGCTCGATGTCTGGTTCAGGTAGAAGGAACCTCCGCGGTTTGCTCGGTGCCTGGTTCAGGTAGAAGGAAGCTCCGTGGTTTGCTCGATGCCTGGTTCAGGTAGAAGGAAGCTCCGTGGTTTGCTCGATGCCTGGTTCAGGTGGAAGATGGAAGCTCCGTGGTTTGCTCGATGCCTGGCTCAGGTGGAAGATGGCCGCTCCGTGGTTTGCTCGATGCCAGGTTCAGGTAGAAGGACGCTCCATGGTTTGCTTGATGCCTGGTACAGGTGGAAGATGGCTGCTCCGTGGTTTGCTCGTTGCCTGCTTCAGGTCGAAGGTCCCTCTGCCCTTTGCTCGGTTTGGGTCTGGCCTGATCCCAGCACTATGTTTTGCAGGTGATGTCAACGCACAGCTGAGGCTGTATCCCGATATAAACACAGCTTTAACCTGATAGGGGCTGGCAGCACAACCTGCAAATCTTCCCACATTCATGACATTTATCACTATGAGGACATATAATGCTGTCCATCCTGGGAATGTCTTCTTAAAGGGGCAGGCATGCACATTATCTCTTTTGTAAACCCATCAGATCTGACGTAACTATGCCAGCAGTAGAGCAGGAATGACACTGTAACCATGCAAAGGGTTAATTAGAGTGAAGAATAAACCCACTTAGTCAGTGAGCAAGGCCTGTACACAGAATGTCCGTTCATTTGTAATGTTCAAAGTGAGTTTACTGCTTGTGTTGCTGCCAAAAAGGAAACTGGCAGTGCCTGTCCTGGGGCCGGGATTGGGGCCGGAGCTGGAGTATTTTCTGTCAACAAAATAGTTTGGATCAGGCTTGAGCTGCATGTATCATACCATGTACAGCCTGATGTGATCTGTGTGTTGAGCACTGTTACAATAGCTGTGTGCCGTGTGCTGAGCATTGCGTTGTTTGTGCTGCGTGATAATAGCCATGTTCTTCACTCCGTGTCCTGTTTGCTCTGCGTCTCGCTCCGTCTCCTGTTTGCTGTGCGTCTCGCTCCGTCTCCTGTTTGCTGTGCGTCTCGCTCCGTCTCCTGTTTGCTGTGCGTCTCGCTCCGTCTCCTGTTTGCTGTGCGTCTCGCTCCGTCTCCTGTTTGCTGTGCGTCTCGCTCCATTTGCTGTGCGTCTCGCTGAGTGTCCTGTTTGCTGTGCGTCTCGCTGCATGTCCTGTTTGCTGTGCATGTCCTGTTTGCTGTGCGTCTCGCTCTGTGTCCTGTTTGCGGTGCGTGTCCTGTTTGCTGTGCGTCTCGCTCCGTCTCCTGTTTGCTGTGCGTCTCGCTCCGTCTCCTGTTTGCTGTGCGTTTTGCTCCATTTGCTGTGCGTCTCGCTGAGTGTCCTGTTTGCTGTGCGTCTCGCTGCATGTCCTGTTTGCTCTGCGTGTCCTGTTTGCTGTGCGTCTCGCTCCGTGTTCTGTTTGCTGTGCGTCTCGCTCCGTCTTCTGTTTGCTGTGCGTCCCGCTCTGTCTCCTGTTTGCTGTGCGTCTCGCTGCGTCTCGCTGCGTGTCCTGTTTGCTGTGCGTCTCGCTCCGTCTCCTGTTTGCTGTGTGTCTCGCTGCATGTCCTTTTTGCTGTGCGTCTCGCTTTGTGTCCTTTTTGCTGTGCGTCTCGCTCCGTGTTCTGTTTGCTGTGCGTCTCGCTTTGTGTCCTGTTTGCTGTGCGTCTCTCTGCATGTTCTGTTTGCTGTGCGTGTCCTGTTTGCTGTGAGTCTCGTTCCGTGTTCTGTTTGCTGTGCGTCTCGCTGTGTGTCCTGTTTGCTGTGCGTCTCGCTGTATGTTCTGTTTGCTGTGCATGTCCTGTTTGCTGTGCATCTCACTCCGTGTTCTGTTTGCTGTGCTGCCTCGCCCGTGTTCTGTTTGCTGTGCGTCGCTGCATGTTCTGTTTGCTGTGCGTCTCGCTGAGTGGCCTGTTTGCTGTGCCTCGCTGCATGTTCTGTTTGCTGTGCGTCTCGCTGCGTGTCCTGTTTGCTGTGCGCCTCGCTGCGTGTCCTGTTTGCTGTGCGTCTCGCTTTGTGTCCTGTTTGCTGTGCGTCTCGCTGTGTCCTGTTTGCTGTGCGTCTCGCTGCGTGTTCTGTTTGCTGTGCGTCTCGCTGCGTGTTCTGTTTGCTGTGCGTCTCGCTGCGTGTTCTGTTTGCTGTGCGTCTCACTCCATGTTCTGTTTGCTGTGCGTCTCGCTTTGTGTTCTGTGTTCTGTTTGCTGTGCGTCTCGCTGCGTGTCCTGTTTGCTGTGCGTCTCGCTTTGTGTTCTGTTTGCTGTGCGTCTCGCTTTGTGTTCTGTTTGCTGTGCGTCTCGCTGCATGTTCTGTTTGCTGTGCGTCTCGCTGCATGTTCTGTTTGCTGTGCGTGTTCTGTTTGCTGTGCGTCTCGCTGCATGTTCTGTTTGCTGTGCGTCTCGCTGCATGTTCTGTTTGCTGTGCGTGTTCTGTTTGCTGTGCACCCACTGAATGTTTAATAAAAGCCTAGAGAACGTTATTCCATACAAATTTGTGAAAAGGTCCTATATATTAGTTTATATTTCTGCACAATTTGAAATGCGTAATAAAGGTAGTGTGGAACCTGGTGTGCTGCAGCAGCCTATGCAGGGTGTGATTAGAATAATCGGGGAAGTTGGTGTTATCCTCCCGCCAGGCTGAGCCCTGACATTTTGGGCTGGCTTAAACACACCCTTTATTTAACAGTCATTCTGCCCTGTGTGACCTCGCCTGCCTAAATCATCCATCCTGAGTCAGTCTCATAAACACTACTGGCTGGAATAGCTTTAACTCTTACTGTGCCTGTATGCGGGATGCACCCCTCAATGATGATCTTATTAAAGGGGTACTCCAAGCATCATAACTGGTCAGTGTTAGCCTAGATTACTCTCTGCGTCCCTATCCGTATCTTTACTCTGCGATGTCCCCGATCCATGGAGATCTTATATAGCCTGTGTATACAATACATCACACTTCATGTACTGCTGTATATTATACCGCACACAGCTCGGTTCTTGTAAAAGTTACTGGGTGTGATTATAAATAATGAATTCAATTACTGTCTCAAGTAAGTAGTGCAGGATTCATAAAAAGCTGACAACTGAATATCCAATAATGCTCTGCTGTACCAGGAGTTTATGGGATAGGAAAGAAAGTTTAAAAAAGAAAATGGAGAAACCAGGATCGGCTGAGTCCTGCAGTGTCACTGTGTAAGAAGCAGATCCTGGGGCATTACCACAAAGGACACATTGAGGTGACCAGCTTTTGGCATTTATTAATGCATTCTTTTGAAAGGCAATGAAACAGAGGGGGGTTGATTCTAAATGATGCAATGCTCTGTCCTAGAATAAAGAAAGTGAAACTAGCCTACCTGCCTGCTCCATGCTTAGTGTGGGGTTGCTTTTTTTTGTACTGCCCCAAGTCACACAAAGATCTCATGTGTTGCACCCAGACGGCAGGCAGTGATTCAGGGTTTATTGAATTACTCCGTCCACACCACAGCTGCTCTATTGATTCCTTGGTGTGAGGCCGCCATGGGTTGATGAGGAGAGACTTTCTCTCTGAATCTTTGTCCCCTCAGGGCTCATCAGCGCACTCCAGAAATTGGTGAGAAGGGGGTCGGCGTTGCTATAAGAAGAGATTCCAAACAGATGTCCTTTGCAGACAGACAATGCTTCCTTTAACACTGGCTACTAACCCTGACCATTAGATTGGTGATACCCTCTGGGATTTGGGCGAATACACTTGTAATAAACCTTAATTACATTGCGTTCATTGTAGATGTACATCTCTGGCTGCATTATTCCATTTACTGAAAATGTGTTGCGAAGCCTGGGGAACATGCAGTGTTATACTGTGCCAGAAGATTCATTAGACCATCAAATGTTTTAACTCACAGACTTGTGATGAGAGACATGAACACCGTAATTAAACAGCCTAGCGATATACGTATGTTACACAGAATTACCCTTCTGATATTAAATAATTTATCAAAATAGGGATTTATACCCAGAATCTAAGTGTTCTTTTCGAGCACCATTTATTTTACAGCCCTGCTCGCGAACACAGAGAGGGACTGAAAATTTGGGGACATGTATTTAAACTGATGGTGTTATTCCCAGCTGGGACGTGAAGAGAACTGCACATCTTAAGAACATTATAGCCATACCAGAAAAACAAATCTTATATGTAGCTATTCTTTTGTAATTTCAGATCCAGAATTCCAAGTTTAATACCTTGTCGGAAAATAGTGGGGGTTCATTAGCTAATCCCAATTGTCCTTTAACTGTTCAGTGTTTGGTCAGATTGAACAAAAAGTGCAAATATGCAGCGAAGACCCAAAAACCTTTATCTAATGAACAGTAATTAATTGAATTTGTAACTAACTTTGGTGACAGAAATTTAGTGAATTTAATAATGAAGAATTATGGCAAACCGAAGCATTTATGCCAGTAGTGGGAAAAAATAAGACAAGTGAAAGCTTCTGTTTGCCATCACTAGGAAGGCACACTGCTGACTACATCTTTAGTAGTATTGGGATTTCTAAATGGTTTTATTGTAAAATTTCTTATTATAGAGTTGACCCAGACAAGGATCAGTCTGTGATGGTCAGGAATGCGAGAGAGTGTTCTGTGCCATTCAGAGAATGCTGATTTTTTTTTTTTTAAATTGTTTCTCAATGTAATTTCAAATCCCTCTGCTCACATCCAATGTCCTTTCTTAATGACAGATCGCAAGGCAGACATCCCAGATCAAGCAAAACTTGAGATGATTACTGAGACTGCAGACATAACACTGCCTCCTGAAATGCCCATTTTGATTGATCGCCATGCGTTAAAGGATATTCTAGGACCTCCAATGTATGAGATCGAGGTAAGAGACTCTAGTGGGGTCACATTAACCATTCCAGTGCCATTGACCTCTTATGTATACCGCACTGCTTTGATCTTAGAAAGCATTAGAAGTGTGGTATGTCCTAATAATAGATATCGGTACCTGAACAAACAGCAGGATCCAAATGCTTCCTGCTTGGGCTCTGCAGCCGTGGGGCAGGCAAAGCTTTAATTTGTAGCTTCCTACCTGTTCAATGATTAGAAAGCTAATTTGCAAATATGTTAGTTTTATACAAAGCGAATATTACTTGCTATTATTGCTTTATTGTTAATATTACTTATCTGCATCTTTTATCTTGTTTTGATTAGCTCTGTGCTTTCTCATGACTATGCCCTCTGAGCTGATAGAAGAGGCGTCTCTCGTCCTCTGTTACAGTAATACTGTGTCTGGGGGCTCAGTTAGTTTAGAGAATATTGTGTCCGTGTCTGGTGAAAGGACGTAATAAACACACAGATTGTTAGATTGTGAGCCTCAAACATTTCTTAGGATAGCTTTTAGAATGACACGTTATCCCCCAGTAGGCATCTGACTTCATATGGATTGGCAGCTTAACTGGTTCCAGACCTGGAGATTTAGCTATGTATCTTGTATATCTGCAAGTTATCCTGTGCAGATCATAGCATTCCCTGCTTGACAGCCCATTCCACGGACTTGTAGCCTAGCTCTATTTTCACTGCCTCCCGGGATGCAGAGCCCAGCTCCTCCTAGCCTGCCTCCCGGGATGCAGAGCCCAGCTCCTCCTAGCCTGCCTCCCGGGATGCAGAGCCCAGCTCCTCCTAGCCTGCCTCCCGGGATGCAGAGCCCAGCTCCTCCTAGCCTGCCTCCCGGGATGCAGAGCCCAGCTCCTCCTAGCCTGCCTCCCGGGATGCAGAGCCCAGCTCCTCCTAGCCTGCCTCCCGGGATGCAGAGCCCAGCTCCTCCTAGCCTGCCTCCCGGGATGCAGAGCCCAGCTCCTCCTAGCCTGCCTCCCGGGATGCAGAGCCCAGCTCCTCCTAGCCTGCCTCCCGGGATGCAGAGCCCAGCTCCTCCTAGCCTGCCTCCCGGGATGCAGAGCCCAGCTCCTCCTAGCCTGCCTCCCGGGATGCAGAGCCCAGCTCCTCCTAGCCTGCCTCCCGGGATGCAGAGCCCAGCTCCTCCTCGCCTGCCTCCCGGGCTGCAGAGCCCAGCTCCTCCTCGCCTGCCTCCCGGGCTGCAGAGCCCAGCTCCTCCTCGCCTGCCTCCCGGGCTGCAGAGCCCAGCTCCTCCTCGCCTGCCTCCCGGGCTGCAGAGCCCAGCTCCTCCTCGCCTGCCTCCCGGGCTGCAGAGCCCAGCTCCTCCTCGCCTGCCTCCCGGGCTGCAGAGCCCAGCTCCTCCTAGCCTGCATAACTACTGCAGGGTCCCTGTAAGAAGTCTTACTCACTTCACATCTCCCCAGGGAGCAAAGTGCTCCTTCCTAACCTCTGCAGAGAATTGCTTCACCAATGGAGTTTTCAAAGCAGCACAGAGTATTCATCTCTGAATTTAAATTACAGAAAACCAAACACAGTACTAAAAGATGCAAACAGAAACCGGGTCAAAATACACGTAGATGGCAGGAGGATTTTTACTGTTTTTGGCTGGCATGAAATGGCAAGGGATAGGTGACTATGGAAAGCACATATTGTAATGGAGGAGGAATGGTCCATTAGTAAACTCCTGTTTAATTCCTTCAAGGTGTTTGAGCGTTTGAACCAGCCCGGCGTGGCCATTGGTTTGGCCTGGACACCCCTGGGAGGTGAGATCATGTTTGTGGAAGCCAGCCGCATGGATGGTGAAGGCCAGCTAACACTAACTGGCCAGCTGGGAGATGTCATGAAGGAGTCGGCACATCTGGCCATCAGCTGGCTGCGCAGTAACGCAAAGAAATACTGGCTAACAAACGGTATGTCCGAGGTGTCCAGAACCAACTGAAGAGACCATGCAGTATGCTTTGTAGCAGTAATACCATACAAACAAATCTCCCTCATTTAATGCAAGTCCCCATGATCTCTTAGGAAGTCCTTGCTGGGACACAGACAGATTATTCTGTAGGTGTAAGCTGACAAGAAGTCCTTGGATGCGGTGTGTGGCAGGGGGAGTCAGTGTTGGCTGTATGTTGTTATTTATGTGGAGTAACAAGGGGAGGGAGCGATGAAGGTTATTTTGTAATTTTACAAATGCAAACACCTTGCAAGATTTCCTTTAAAGTCTAATCTGGTGGTGGGGTTCATCATTTAATAGCATTGCTCTAAATACTTTGAGGTAAAGATTATGCATACAGGTTCAGTGAGGTTTGGAGGGACCTCAGTGATTACAATGTAACCATTTTCTTGCCAGTATCGGGAAGTTTTGATCTCCTTGACAACACAGACATCCATTTGCACTTCCCTGCCGGGGCAGTCACCAAGGATGGGCCATCTGCAGGTGTTGCCATAGTAACATGCCTGGCTTCCCTATTCAGTGGCAGGCTGGTGTGCTCTGATGTAGCCATGACTGGAGAGATCACACTGCGAGGACTCGTACTTCCTGTAAGTAACACAGTAACACAGGTGTGACCCGTGGGTATTTTGTCCTTAGACCTGCAGTTAGTACGGCCTCCCTTATGGAGCACTACTTTGGGCTGGTATATTATCTCAATGACGTGGTCTTGTAGTTTCACCCTTTTTAAGTTAAAAACTGCAATGTTTACATAGTAGGCTTATGCATGTCTTTAGCAGCTATCTAGACAGTCATACAAGGGCTGATTCTGATTCTATAACCAAATCAAATGTGGTCCTGTAATGCAATGCTACTCTGAGTGGAGTTTTGCTGCGCATGCACCCTATAATCCATTGTTTCTTAGGGGGAGGGGGAATTGTAGTGGACAGGACTGACACAATAGGTTCCCTTAATTCACAGATAAGAAATCTTAGAAAGTGTTCTTATGTGTATCCAAGTTATGCCAGTACCAGGAATATCTTGTAAAGAAAGTATGGTTTGATGGCACATACAGGTTATTCACTAAAGTGACAATTTAAGACTAAAGTCGCAGAACTGAAAATTAACTTGTGGTACTTTTCCAGTTCAGCTCTGTGTATGTGTTTAGAAGGGCACCTGTGTGCTATGGTGCTGATTACCACTGAAGCTGGCCTTGATTGGAGCAGTGACTACTTTTTTTTCCTTTAGTGGTGGTATTTTTCATTAACGATTGTAGAATAAATGGTCAATTATTTTCCATCTATGGATCCAGCCTATCCCCCTAGTCTAGCAATGCTGGTTTCCCATATTCAGGTAATAAGCCTCTAACCGCTTTCTTTCCTGTATGTAACTATGATTATTGATAATGGCTATAATCTGCATTTCAATGTGTCTCTCTAGGTTGGTGGGATTAAAGATAAAGTATTAGCAGCACACAGAGCAGGGCTGAAGCGTGTCATTATACCCAAGCGTAATGAGAAGGACTTGGAAGAGATTCCAGTTAACGTACAGCAGGATCTAAGCTTTGTCTTGGCAGACTCCCTGGAGGATGTACTTAACGCAGCATTTGATGGTGGATTTTTACAGAAAAACGAATCAGAGCTTCTAAACAGTAAACTGTAACTGTATCAGACTGCTGCTCATCTTCCCACCATAAGGTCTCATTTAAACAAGGTTAGAGTAATGGAGTTATAATAAGCACATGATGCCTGGCTTGCTAAGAATTATGGGAAACCATTTAGATAGGAGAGCCTAGCTAAATGAAGTAAAGGAAGCTTTCATTTAAATGATTAAACCAGATAATCTGTTTATTACCAATTAATGAAAGTAGCTATTGAGTTGTGTCCATTGCGGTCTAGATTTATTATATATTAGACAGGCAGGGCTCATGAGTTCCTGCCATCATGTATCTTAAACAGGCAAGTCAATCCAGATTTTTACTTCTGTAGGTGGATGCACATACTAATGTGATTAAATAAAAGAATTTAACCTTGTGTGTTCTAATTCTTTTTCCTACAATCAACTCCCATGGTATGAAGCAGCCAAAGACACAGAAAACACAAGAAACCCTATATTAGTAATATTCACTGCAGGGAATAGCCTGGCATTGCTTTCAATGGTAAATTTACAAGCAAGCTACAGTGTAGATCAGTGGTTTCCAAACCAGTCCAAGATTTAGGGATTACCCAATGGTGGTGGTGTTTTTAGAAAACAAATGCCTTGACACGACTGGGTAAACCCTAAATCCTGGAGTGGTAGGCATGCTGGGGCCTGGTTTGGAAACCACTGTTGCAGACACTTAGATTTATACAGCATGAGTTCTTTATAGAAAGTCACACCATCCCTACTTTCCAAAAGCTATAATAATGGATAAATTACATTACTTGAAGATATGTATTTGGTAGCTTTTAAAAAAAAAAACCTGGGCCTAACTTTTTAGCTGGCTCCGATTCCAGCAGGTAATTAAAATGTAACAGTTGTTGCAGTCATTCAGAGTGTAGGTTGCAATCTAAATGTGGTCACAGAGTGCAGAGTTATTGTTGTAAGCAAGTCTTTTGAGTCAACTAAAGACATGCAAATCTTTATTTTATCAGACACTTAGATTTATAGGATTTTTGATTATCTGAACTTCTATAAACTCAATTTGAAAAAAAAAAAAAATTATGCATTTTTCTTTGGTGGTATAACTAAAAAAAAAGACAGCTTACAAAAACTGCAAATCTGATGGTCCAATCACAGACTCCCAATGCAGCTCAATGAGAAGTCTTTACAAGGCAGGTGCTTTGGGCAATTACCGCCTCTTGAGTTTATCTCCACTGAGCTAAATAAACCAGGAAGAAATAGTCATTGGCAGAAAAGCTTACCAGAAACAAAAGTCACAACTTTCATGCATTGGAAACAAAAAGTTAGAAATCACTTGGTGCAAAAAGGGACTAGTTAAAATAAAAGAAATTAAAAAGTTCATGAAAATGCATAAGTGAGCCTGACACTTTTTTTAAATAACTCCTCCTGCATTAAAGGACCACTATAGTGCCAGGAAAACACTCGTTTTCCTGGCACTATAGTGCCCTGAGGGTGCCCCCACCCTCAGGGACCCCCTCCCGCCTGGCTCTGGAAAGGGGTAAAAACTTACCTTTTTCCAGCGCTGGGCGGGAGCTCTCTGCCTCCTCTCCTCCTCCGATCCTCCTCCTGGAATGGCTGGCTGCGCGCATTCAGCCCGTCGGAAAGCATTTACAATGCTTTCCTATGGACGCTTGCGTGCTCTCACTGTGAAAATCACAGTGAGAAGCACGCAAGCGCCTCTAGTGCCTGTCAATGAGACAGCCACTAGAGGATTAGGGGGAAGGCTTAACCCATTAATAAACATAGCAGTTTCTCTGAAACTGCTATGTTTATTAAAAAATGGGTTAACCCTAGCTGGACCAGGCACCCAGACCACTTCATTAAGCTGAAGTGGTCTGGGTGCCTAGAGTGGCCCTTTAAGGACAAGCCAGCCCTATGCTGACAGTTTCACCAGTGTAAGGCACAAAATATAAAACCTACCTGAAGCACTCAGCAACTCATTAGACCCAACACCACGTTTACAAATGTACAAAATGAACAGGAAGGCTATTGGTAAACCACTGACAAGGGATTGAAGAGTTGTAATATAGGCAGAACATGACATTTAATGGGATTGCAATCTCTACAAAAACATTAAAATGACCACAGTAAAGCACCACTCTAGGCACCCAGACCACTTTGGCTTAAAGGACCACTCTAGGCACCCAGATCACGTCAGCTTAATGAAGTGGTCTGGGTGCCAGGTCCAGCTAGGGGCAGTTTCAGAGAAACTGCTATGTTTATAAATGGGTTAATCCAGCCCTCAAATCCTCTAGTGGCTGTCTCATTGACAGCCACTAGAGGCGCTTGCGTGCTTCTCACTGTGAAAATCACAGTGAGAGCACGCCAGCGTCCATAGGAAAGCATTGTAAATGCTTTCCTATGAGACCGGCTGAATGCGCGCGCAGATGAATGCGTACATGCACAGCATTATCTGAGCTTTGAGAAGGAGGTATGCAGAGGGGAGGCAGGCTTACTCAAGTAGAGCACACCTGCTGCTTCCGTTCAATCCAAAGAGCCAATACAAGCAGGAAGAAACTGCCAGCGAATGGGGCTGTTTCATTAAATTGTAAAAGTGCGTTTGAGATGGGATACTTATTGCAGAATCTGAAGTGCTCTATGAGTGTGGAGAGGTCCTTTAAAGGACCAAAGGGCTAGTAAAGATATTAGGGGGTCAATGTGTTCAGCTTAATTAGGGATCCTATGGTCTAATGTCCATTTAGGGATCAGAACTATTTTATATCAGTTTTATCAAGCCCAAATTCAGAGCCATGCTATAAACACCTCCGCTTCCAGTTTTAACGAAGCTGCTGTACAGAAAGAAACACTGATAATATTAAGATGATAACATTAACAGATCATAAATGGTCAGTCTTAATGTCAGCAAACAAATTTCAGTCACAGCCCATCATTAAAATGATCTTAAACCTGAACAGGCATACAGCCCCAGCTAACAGAATGATAGAAAGGTTTTTAGCTGGAGGCCCGAGTTTACACATTCCTTAAAAGCCATGACGCTCTAGCCAATGTTGTGCCAATCTGTGTAGATTACAGTTTTACATACACTAGTCACATGCCGAATCAATATGTGTTTTCTTCAACTAACACCCAAGCATTCTAGCAAAACGCCTTTTTCATAACGCAATAACGGCTAGTCATGCATGGTTAAACCAGGTGTAGATAGCCTCACATTGCTCCATATCCTGAGCACATTACACAAACTTCACTCACACATGTTGCTTATAATGTCACACTGAACATGTAACAGTTTAACTGGGCTAATGTAAAGGCAAACCATGATTACACATTGTGGAAGCATCATCTGGAAAATCCCATCACATCCAGAACTGGACCAGAGCACAAATTAAAGCTAAGAGCTGGTAGTTTGTCAAGGATACATTTAATGACAATTATAAAAAGAATGAGAACATCTCATTTTGAGACTACTCTAACAATATCAGGTTTCAATTATATTTGTCAGACAATGGGTTCTTGCAACTACAAAAACAAATACACCCTTTGTTTGAGACAAACAGCCGTACATCTTGCAGATTTTTTGTTTAATGTTGGGTGAACAGAAACTACAAAATAAAACCCCACACAGAATTTACTCAAAGCAGAATGACCCCCACCCCATTTGCTACTTAAATTAAAAAAATATATGTGGTTTGACATTCATTCTGCAATTGAGGTTGTGCTGGAGATCCAGGGATATACATATACTTGGCATTATTCAGCTACAATCCCCATTATCCCTAATGGGGGTTATGGGAATTGTAGAATCTGCCAGATCAGATTGCATAGATGGCAGAAGTAGAAGCCTTTTGGCTATACATACAGCAAAGCCAATTAGTTCAGGATCATGTAACATTAAACACATTCCTCAAATCCATACTAGAAACATTTTAAAATAAAGTTTAAAAAAAAATAAAAAAAATTTATATCTTTAATCCAAAATTATGCATTGCAAATGTGTACAAAAAAAACCTTAATTACAGAAAAGAGTCAAATTTATTGAATGAAAAACTAGAAGTTAATAAAAATTAGCCAAAAAAAAAAAAAGTACACAAAACAGCAGCAATTCTATAGAGTGACGTGTGAGGATCGCAGTGGCTCTAAACCGCGCAAAATGGCTTGTCCGTCAAACAGGAGGGAAATAAAACACACATAATTTCACTGTACAAACTACAAACACAAATTCATTGGGGATTATTTTACATTTAATGTTGGATTTTTGTTGCTTTGTTATTTCCTTTTTTTTTTTTTTAAAGATTTTTCGCTTTACGTACAAAAGTTGACCCGCTGGGTGTCTATATATTTCAGTGGTTTTTTTTTGTTTTGTTTTTAAATATTAGTGTTTCTACATGCAACTGCTTCCTGTAAGTGGAATTCCTGCTTGTGGCGGGAGGCCGGCAGTACAGATGGATATTGAGCGCTGGATGGGAAGTGGAACACTGGCCTGGAAGTATTTGAATGCAGCTTTCAACACATGGAGATGGTTACGTTAATTCCTAAATTGCCATTTTCTGCAAACAGCTGTGCGATGCTGGTGTCAAAAACTAGACAGTCACTGTTCATGATAGCAGTTGCAATTCCCTCGTGAATAGAGCGTGGAGTAGCTTCCCAAGTCAATCGCCGCCGGTGGCCATTTAGCTCCAGCCGGTAGGCAAAATTTTCTGCTTGCTTGCGCGTTCCTATTAGCTGCACAATTGCAAAGAACTGCTGATGACCATCATACTTCTCTTGTTTCTCCAGAACCAACATGAAGTGAAACCCAAAGCAAGATTGCATCATAACCCAGTCGACAGCTCCTGGAAGGTTAATGTCTGTAGCCAGGAATACAATATCCTCTCCTTGTAATGTTGTTATAGATTTATGCTGATGCATTAGGTGAGGCATGACTGCATCCAGGGAGCCTTGCCATTTACAAGAAGCCCCAGGACAGGGACAAGAGTAAGGACGAAACTCACACAGCTCCTCATGATCCGCTTTTTCCGTGTGCGGCAACGTTACCTCACATCCAGAGCTAGCGTATTTGCAGGGAAAAAGTACAGAGTTGGCCACCTTTTCCATTGCCAAATTACGGATGGATCCCAAAGGGCCTCTGCAGGTCGGACAACATGTGAGCTTTGGCCGACAATTGCTGCAAACAAGGTGGCCGCTCTGACACTGGAGAATGGGTGGTAAAACATAGTCAAAGCACACTGGGCATTCAAACAGGCTTGCCAGGTCATTGTTGGATGCAGTTGTTCCCGTCAGAGCTGGTACTCGCTGGGATGGGGGACACTTGGAAGTACCTGTAGGGATGGCTGTAGCAGTCTGACGGCTCATTTCTGCATTGAAAAAAAATAAAATTAGTTTTAACACGTTAAATATTGTAATATTAACTTCTAGAGGAGCCAATTAACACCAAGATTTTAGCATTACTAACCATTTACCAGCCAAAGACGAGAACATACTGAAAACATTTCACTAAAGTGGAACGAAACCACAAGACTAACCAACAACGCATAACAAGTCAACATGGGGCTTATACACAACGTGGAAATTACCAGGAATTCAAAGTGTATTTCAAATTATAGGCCTAAATAACCAAATTAAAAAGCATAGCAAAACTATACAAACTTATTACTGGCTGGAATTGCTTTGCAAGTCAAATATTTGCCTGAAATTTAAAATTGGTCTTGAATTCCTGACAATTCCCACTATGTAAATAATTATGCCCATTACTTTCCCAGCTCTATTGTGGTGTAAAGCTGGAATCTACTTGCCAAATGTGGGTATAGTGCATAACCAGAGGATCTATCAGGCCCCTCCAACCTACATGTATGTAATATTGAGAGGTAGGTACTAACTCTTGGTTGGTCATTGTATGGGTTATCTTACACAGACAGTTTTCTACAAAGTACATGTTTTTTTTCATATCAATTTGCAGGAGCCAAGTATACGGTAAGAGCATTACAAGTTTGTAATTTATGAATCATTTTCTAAACAAAATGGCAGAGTTATATACTACTCTCCATGTAAAGAACTGCAAGCTGACTAAATGCAGTCTAAAATAGATGGTCTAAACATTTTTCGGCAGTGTTTTTGGCCTAAATTTGCTACATTTTAGATTCAATTTGCTACAATTCAGAGTAGGAATAACCCTGAAAGTTTTCCATCTATTCATGTGTGTCCTTCCCAGACTAATCCATAATAGCTCTCAGCTGGTGTACACAATTAAAGGAATGTGTCATGGCCTATTTACACATCACACAGGATTTCATTACAGCATGGCTTTAGATGTTATTCTGTGTAACCCTACCCACTGCAATAACCTCCCAGGCCCATAGACTCCTCATGGTGAAGGGAAACAAATGCTCTTCCCATCACAATCAGTTGTTACCATACACAAGCTAAGACAGAAATAGCCTAAAGGATATGGTATTCTTTAAGTTTTCTTAAATGAAGGTTGCACTCTATGAGACCCGCAGTAAATGATCATGACAAATAGGGTGCTGGGGGCCTGCTTCAAGCAGGACAGACCTACCCCACATCAGATAATGTCCCTTTAATGCCAGACTGGGGACAGACAGGGTATGCTCCGTGCAGGACAGATATTGTCCCTTTAATGTCAGACTGGGGACAGACTGTGTGTGCTCCGTGCAGGACAGATAATGTCCCTTTAATGTCAGACTGGGTGTGCTCCGTGCAGGACAGATATTGTCCCTTTAATGCCAGACTGGGGACAGACGGGGTGTGCTCCGTGCAGGACAGATATTGTCCCTTTAATGCCAGACTGGAGACAGACAGGGTATGCTCAGTGCAGGACAGATACTGTCCCTTTAATGCCAGACTGGTGACAGACAGGGTGTGCTCCGTGCAGGACAGATACTGTCCCTTTAATGCCAGACTGGGGACAGACGGGGTGTGCTCCGTGCAGGACAGATACTGTCCCTTTAATGCCAGACTGGGGACAGACGGGGTGTGCTCCGTGCTGGACAGATACTGTCCCTTTAATGCCAGACTGGGAACAGACGGGGTATGTTCCGTGCAGGACAGATATTGTCCCTTTAATGCCAGACTGGGGACAGACGGGGTATGCTCCGTGCAGGACAGATATTGTCCCTTTAATCAGATATTGTCCCTTTAATGCCAGACTGGGGACAGACGGGGTGTGCTCCGTGCAGGACAGATTTGTCCCTTTAATGCCAGACTGGGGACAGACGGGGTATGCTCCGTGCAGGACAGATTATTGTCCCTTTAATGCCAGACTGGGGACAGACGGGTATGCTCCGTGCAGGACAGATATTGTCCCTTTAATCAGATATTGTCCCTTTAATGCCAGACTGGGCTGGGAGAGGGCTATCGAGCAGATATTACACCCAAAGCCTGGTACAGAACACGTGGGTCCCCAGGGGCCCTTACCTTTCCTGGGGTCACTCCCGGACAGGCAGGTAAAGAGGACCCCTTTCCATGAGTAGAGCACGCTGGGGGTCGCTTTGCCAGTCATGGAGGGGGAGGCAGGGCATCGCTTCTCCCGGCACAGCCTCAGCAGCAGGCAGCCAGGGGCCCGTCCCAGATCCACGTCCCCATCCGGAGCTGAGAGCACAGCGAGCGGCCTCCCTCTCCGACTCTCACTGCGGCTCCCATCGACCGCACCCGCGACAGGGCGCAGTGCGCATGCTCAGACAGCGGGGACGGGGCCGCCAGCTCCACCCTCCCCCCCCCGGGCAGCACGTGAGCCGGATACACTGGGGAGGCTAATAATAGCCCCGGGGCCTACACTAACCGGCATTAACCCTCAGTGTGCCAGGCATGGGGGGCATTAACCCTCAGTGTGCCAGGCATCCGGGGGGGGGGCATTAACCCTCAGTGTGCCAGACCTCCGAGGGGGGATGCATTAACCCTCAGTGTGCCAGGCATGGGGGGCATTAACCCTCAGTGTGCCAGGCATCCGGGGGGCATTAACCCTCAGTGTGCCAGGCATCCGGGGGGCATTAACCCTCAGTGTGCCAGGCATCCGGGGGGCATTAACCCTCAGTGTGCCAGGCATCCGGGAGGCATTAACCCTCAGTGTGCCAGGCATGGGGGGGCATTAACCCTCACAGTGCCAGGCCTATCCAGTGGGGAGGGGGGAATTCACCCCCACAGTGCCAGGCCTATCCAATGGGGAGGGGGGCATTCACCCTCACAGTGCCAGGCCTATCCAGTGGGGAGGGGGGAATTCACCCCCACAGTGCCAGGCCTATCCAGTGGGGAGGGGGGCATTCACCCCCACAGTGCCAGGCCTATCCAGTGGGGAGGGGGGCATTCACCCCCACAGTGCCAGGCCTATCCAGTGGGGAGGGGGGCATTCACCCTCACAGTGCCAGGCCTATCCAGTGGGGAGGGGGGAATTCACCCCCACAGTGCCAGGCCTATCCAATGGGGAGGGGGGCATTCACCCTCACAGTGCCAGGCCTATCCAATGGGGAGGGGGGCATTCACCCCCACAGTGCCAGGCCTATCCAATGGGGAGGGGGGCATTCACCCCCACAGTGCCAGGCCTATCCAATGGGGAGGGGGGCATTCACCCCCACAGTGCCAGGCCTATCCAGTGGGGAGGGGGGCATTCACCCCCACAGTGCCAGGCCTATCCAGTGGGGAGGGGGGCATTCACCCTCACAGTGCCAGGCCTATCCAGTGGGGAGGGGGGCATTCACCCTCACAGTGCCAGGCCTATCCAGTAGGGAGGGGGGCATTCACCCTCACAGTGCCAGGCCTATCCAGTAGGGAGGGGGGCATTCACCCTCACAGTGCCAGGCCTATCCAATGGGGAGGGGGGCATTCACCCTCACAGTGCCAGGCCTATCCAGTGGGGAGGGGGCATTCACTCTCACAGTGCAAGGCCTGACTCCCTCTGTGTGGAGTCTCAGGCTTACTCTGGGACTGTAGTGTTTACATGGAGGGTTAATAAATCATATTCTAATACAGACACATTATTCAAAGAGTAATTGAAACCTCCTCCAGATAGACGGACAGAAGGGAGGCAGTGAGTGACAGTCAGTATAATGTTACTGGCCAGCAAAGTAAACACGACTAATCTGAAAATGCAGTTTTCACTGCTTAGCACGAAGGAAGAGGTAATAGACAGAGAACCATTACCATACAAGAAGCCGTATGCTATACATTAAGCTGCAGTGGTTCTGGTGACTACAGCACACCTTTAAGGCTGTTACCAACTCACAAAATTCTCCCCCACCACATCTGTATATGTAATCCAGCTTCATCTGTCAAACAGCCACCCCAACACGTGTGTAATCCTGCCACGTGTCACACAGCCACCCCAACACGTGTGTAATCCTGCCACGTGTCACACAGCCACCCCAACACGTGTGTAATCCTGCCACGTGTCACACAGCCACCCTAACACGTGTGTAATCCTGCCACGTGTCACACAGCCACCCCAACACGTGTGTAATCCTGCCACGTGTCACACAGCCACCCCAACACATGTGTAATCCTGCCACGTGTCACTCAGCCACCACACAACCACCCCAACACGTGTATAATCCTGCCGCGTCACACAGCCAACCCAAAACGTGTTATCCTGCCATGTCACACAGCCACCCTGCGTGTGTAATCCTGCCACATGGCGCAGAGCCACCCCGCCACTTGTGTAATCCTGCAAAATGTCAAACAGCCACCCCACACCTTGTGTAATCCTGCCACATGTCACAACTATTAAATACACCAACATTTTTCTCCTTTTGTGATCAGGTAACAGATCAATGACCCACCACAAGCCTTTATTCTTTATAATTACACACCGCTAACAATTCAGGTAACACCTAACAGTACATGGAGGCTAAACTATGTCAAACAAAGGATTGCATCAAACCACAGCAGTGTGGGCATGAAATCATAAGTGGCATCAGAACTTTCTGGTCAATTCTTCCCCCAAGACACCCCCCCCCCCCTCTCCACAATTTTGTATTATGGACATCATAAAGCACACTACCAGGGTATCTCATTACCATAAAATATGAGTCAGTTACAGGGAAAGAAAATATTCTAGATATAATTTCTGTAACCTTATCACAATGCTAGCTTCAGAGCGATAATTCTGTTTCAGTTGGAAGACTTCTGCTGAAGCAGACTAAACAGATACAGGTAACGCACTGGCTGCTTTATCAGGTTTTGCTGTGAGCTCTGCTCAGACATGGAAATGGCACAGCAAATCAAAAGTCTCATTCTGCATTAATCAATACTCAGCTTAAAGGGACGCTATAGTCACCAGAACAACTACAGCTTATTGCATTTGTTCTGGTGAGTAGAATCATTACCTTCAGGCTTTTTGCTGTAAACACTGTCTTTTCAAAGAAAATGCAGTGTTTACATTACAGCCTAGTGATAACTTCACTGGACACTCCTCAGATGGCTGTTAGAGATCCTTCCTGGGTCATGGCTGCCTAAAATGCATCCAAACATTCAGTATCTCCTCCCTCTGCATGCAGACACTGAACTTTCCTCATAGAGATTCATTGATTCAATTCATCTCTATGAGGAGATGCTGATTGGCCAGGGCTGTGTTTGAATCATGCTGGCTCTGCCCCTGATCTGCCTCTTTGTCAGTCTCAGCCAATCCTATGGGGAAGCACTGTGATTGGATCAGGCTACCACTTCAGATGATGTCAGCAGACTGCTTGTTTTTTGTGTTTTTGTTTTTTTAAAAGGCAAACAGCATGCAGAGTTACAGCTTCAGGCTTGAATACAGTAAGATTTTGCTATATTTAGGGAGGCATGATGGTGCCCAAGGGGCTAGATGGTGGTTTTAACACTATAGGGTCAGGAATACAAGTTTGTGTTCCTGACCCTATAGTGATCCTTTAAAGGTACTGCCCGCTGTACTGGTTATGATGCTAGTTTCCCAGTAATGAATTGAGCCATTTGACATAGTTTTCCCCCTTACTTAGGACCTCGCCAGACTGAGGCTCCCTAGTGCTCCAGTGACATGCATCCAAAGCAGCAGCGATCGACATTCATTGGCTGAGAATGTCAGCTGACTGCCCTCAACCAATGATGGATATACTGTAAAGTTGCATAGAACTGACATTAGCCAGACAGAACTCTAGATCTAGGCTGGCAGATTATGCCCTAATGATGCTGCTGCAGATGGTGTTACATAGCTTTTCATAGCAAAATTCCTGAGGTGGCCATGATGCCTGGAGTAACAAAACTGTTGCAAACATGAAATTAAAAAATATCAAGCATAGCCCCGAGATCATCCTCATTCACATGCACATCTCACATCGATAACCAACTACTAGATCACTCCTTTACTAAGCTACTTACTTGCGTCTGAGCAGCCACCACCTTCCAGCATAGCACACGTCCAGAAATCGGATCAGTATTTTCGCATACAGATGTATCTCCGCTCACATGTCAAGGACCAGCCCTGAAAGAAAGGGTAATCAAGTGTTATCACAGCTATAGCACAAATCCTCTCACCACCTCACCTCATGCACCAAGTTATCACACAATGCAGGTTAGAGATTGAAATGCATCAAGCATTCCTATTACAAGAATGTAGGATATGGGGGGGGAGAGGGGGGCTTTAGATTGCAAGGCTGAACTCTATAGACTTGAAACTTTTGTTGTGGTAAATTTTTACCATATACTTCTACAGAAATTGATAATAGAGCTTTGGAGGAGTCAAGGTATGACCAGAGGATGTGGGCAAACCCAAAGTGTTTACAGAGATTGTGTGTCTCTGCAGCATTAATCCTTAAAGGGCCTCCGTGCCCTCAAAAAAAAACTTCTTCTCTGTAAGTTGGTTTAGTGGTTGGACTCAGTGTCATTTACTTTAAAGTCTCTTAAAAAAAAAAAAATACATTTTAAAAAATAATAAAGGGGCAGAGCCAGCGCTCGAGCAAGCTAGACTCATCTCTGCAGCTCCGAGCATTGCCCAGAATTAACTGCTCCGAAACCGTTACACACAGACCTAAAAGTGCCTTAAAAGAGAGACCCACAGGCTCCCAACACCATGGGGAAGAAAAGCAAGAAACAGCTCGCGGATCCTGGGTCCGGCTCCGGAGATATTGGAGCTTTCCTCCGCGCGGCTGCACGGGCTGAGAATCCCAAGATGGTGCCTGAGGCCTATACCACGCAATACTCGGGCGAGGACAGTATCTATGCCGAGCCTGCTATACAGAACCAGGCTAGACAGATACTCCAAAGACCCCTGGACATAGGAGACTCAGCACCTTCCACCAAGGCGGATATAAAAGCCCTGATGCAGGACATTAAGTCCATGTTTCAAGCAGACATGGCATTGGTGCGAGAGGATGTTGCCACACTCACCAACAGGGTGGCAGGGGTTGAGGAAAGCATGGGAGGCGCCAGGCTAGCACAAAATGCCACCGACGCAGCACTGAGCTCCCTGAGAAAACAATGTGCCAATCAGCAAGCACAATTGGCCAGCATGGAAGATACAAACAAGGTAAGGAACATGAGAGTCCGGGGTGTACCAGAGAGTCTCTGGCACAGAGTTGTCACATTTCGGCCGGAGGCTCATAGCCACCTTATTGATGCCGCGGCAAGCCAAGCAGGTGATTGATGATGGAGACTGACTGGGGTATACTTATGGTGGCCGCAAGAGGATCCACCACAGTGCCATTTGAAGGAGCGCAATTGTCGTTCTATAGAGATCTGTCGAGAGACACCGTAATATGGAGGAAGTCTTTCCGGCAGGTCACCCAGCTACTCCACAAACAAGCCATTCCTTACAAGTGGGGCCCACACCGACTACAGATGGATAAGGCGGGCAAGACATACGCCTCCGAGATATCGACCTTCCTTCAGTCACGGCCTACCAACACCGACGGCACAGGAGGCACCCTGACCAACCTGGACTGTCGCAGAAATTACCCCCTTTGTGCCTAGAGGACCGACCCTGAAAACAGCCGCATTACCTACCTGATAACTCTGTAGATGAACATGTTCCCCTTCTCTCTACCTTTCTATCTGTTGTAGTTCATAAGAGTTCTCAATGTTCCCTCTGTTGTTGCAACAGCCCTTTTCCACTGGCTCTGTATGCTGCTAATTAGCTCACCACGTTCAGCTCTTCACCCCCCCCCCCACCACCCTTATTCTGGAGTGTAATAAGCAACCCTCATTTTGGCTTACCATAGTCCTCTCTCCACTCACACTGCAAGCGACCCAGGCCTTTCCACCCTGCTATGGCATTAAGCCAACGCAGAGGCAAGCTATGGAAGGACCGTGCCCAGAGGTGCCCAATGTCTACTATAAAAGCAGAACCGCGCTTCTATTCATATGGGCATTGAACCGCTGCGCAATTTCGCCCCTCAGACCCAGCTTGTGACCCCCCTTAGATTAAGCAAGAGTGGGCTGAACAACTCAAAAATTAAAATTGGGTTGCTCCCCTGTTTGTATCAAAATCTGTTCCTATGACTGATGTTAAGCCTACTTTGTGACAATGTTATGATGATGTTCTACCCACAAAATAAAGAATTTTTTTTTTATTTATTTTTTTTTATTTAAAAACGGGAATTGGGGGTACACGCAGAGCATGCATTTCTCAGCAATGGTGCTGCCATAGAGACCAAAATGTATACATAATAAATACATTTTATAAGGCTACTTAAAAATCACCTCTCGGCAAACAAATATGGGGATTCAATATGGCCATATTGTGCCAAGCCCACCACTACATCACAGTACCCCAATATCAGTGGGCCCTACACCAATCCCAACGTGGGAAACATATTATATATCACTAGCACTATTTAATTTGACCGGCTTAACACAATATGGCCGTATGGTGGAACTGAATCCTCATATTTGTTTGCTGGGATAGGTGATTTGAAGTAGCCTTATAAAAAGTAAAAATTGATTTTTATGCACGTTGTTCCTTAACCCCTTAAGGACCAAACTTCTGGAATAAAAGGGAATCATGACATGTCAGACATGTCATGTGTCCTTAAGGGGTTAATCTGTATACCTCAAAGCATCCAACAGCCCTCTCTCCTAAAATGAGCATTTCACAAAAATAAAAAAGCTCTGTCTATGAAGGCTCCTGCCCTCTTACAGCAGCCTCCACAGATCTCTGAGTACTACTCTCACACATGCGCAAGATTATACCACTGACAGACTCCTGACTGATGAATAGCAAGAAATATGCAAATAATCCAGAAGGTAAAAAAGAAGATTAGTGTTGATTTATAATGATTTAACACCAAATTTGAGTCCCTGGGCTGCCATCTGCACTGCCTCCCCTTTAAGAGTACATACTGTTACATACAATGGGCGTCCAGTGATAAGCGGAGATTAAGTTTTGAATTCTTATTTCTATGAAAGATTTATTCTGTTCAAATAGTTTTGATATATTTGCAGCATTTGCCTTTAAATTACAAATGTCCACTCAATTCCTTACACAGCATTTTAGTGAATGACAACCATGTCTCTATAGATTGGTAAATTTAGATCCTAGAGTTCAAAGACAGAATTGGCAATAGACCAATGCAAAATACAGTTCTTGAAATAAAACAAAGCACAGAACCTACGATTGAGCACATATCACTGAGAAACTAGAAGAACGCCAGTGGGATCTCTTGGTTAAGTCTGTGGTTCTTGCTCAAAATAAATGGCTGGAATTCAGTTATTAACCAGAGGCTTCCCTCATCTCAGGTACTCTGGGCAGGCGGTGTTACAGTAAGCCAGGGCTTGACAAATTTGCTTGGGATCTAGGAGCCAGGTTTTTCAGTGCCAAACTACAAATCTTAAAGGGACACTATAGTCACCAGAACCACTACAGCTTAAAAGGATACTATCGTCCTAAGGTATTAAACTTGGGGTATTTTGACTCTTTTCATGCACCCATTTTACCACCAGTTATGCCAAATAAAAACATTTTAAAAATGGTGATTTTTTAGAATCATAGCAATTTAAGAACTTTAAGGGTTACTGCCAAGAACACCTCAATATGTGTTCAGCAACATCTCCGGAATACAGTGATACCACCCATGTATAGGTGTGTCTGGTTCTCTGGGGGCTAAAAGACCTTATTTGGAGGGTGCGCATTCCAGTTTTCCAACAGGGTTCATGATGACCAACTTTTCACAGCTGGTCATCATGAACCCTGTCCTATTTGGGACATTTTTGAAGCTGGCCAATGTAATGTAACGATCCAGGGTATTCAATTTGGGGTATGTCCAGTCTTTTTTATTAGCCACTTAGTCACAAACACAAACACAAACACTGGCCAAAGTTAGCATTTATATTTGTGTGTTAAAAAAGACTGAACATACCCCATTTGCAATACCTTGGGTTGTCTTCATTTGAAAATAGTATGCCATCATGGGGGTAATTCTCATTCCTGGGCTACCATATGCTCTCAAAGCCAATCTTGCAAATTTCAATGTGAAAAAATGGCCTTATATTTGACCCTGTAACTTTCAAAAACACTATAAAACCAAGGACCACCGATAGGGAAGTCTGGGTGAATCCGTCTTTACTAATAAAAACTGAGTAGACTAAGCTATGTGGCAAATGCATCCATTTACTGTATAAATCTTTTACCTGCGGATCACAAAATCGATTATGTTTGCCAATACTCACAAAAATAAAGAATAAAAAAAACACAACACACCACTATAAAACCTGTACATGGGGGGTACTGTTATAGTCGGGCGACTTCACTGAACACAAATATTAGTGTTTCAAAACAGTAAAATGTATCACAATGATATCATCAGTGAAAGGGCAGTTTGTGTGTGAAAAATGCAAAAAAAACCTTCACTTTCACTGACAATATCATTGCTGTGATATGTTTTACTGAAACACTAATATTTGTGTTCAGCGAAGTCTACATAGTAAAACAGTACCCCCATGTACAAGTTTTAGGGCAGTCATGTCCCGCGTTCCGGTTTAATACGGACCCACAGGTTATTTGGCTAATCCTATCTGTTGTGGCCCCCAGTGAATCCCAGAGCGCTGCTCAGGATCCCTGGATCTATGAACGCCACGGTCGGGAGCGGCGCGCTGGGATTCACCAGGGGCCAAGAGATCGCGATCTCTTGGACGTCGAGGAAGAACAGAGAATGAAGGGGAGAAATAAAAGAGAAGGGACAGAGAATAAAGGGACAGAATAAATAAAAGAGAATGGACAGAATAAAAGAATAAAGAGATGAAATGAAAAGTATGCCGCATGCAATAAATTTTGCATAAAATAGTTTATTTGCATTTAATTTTAATGGTTCAAAGAATGTCAGGCAATATGGTCGGCCCTCAGGCATGTTCATTTTATCAAATCTGGCCCTCTTGGAAAAAAGTTTGGACACCCCTGCCTTAGGTTGTCTTTTTTTAAAAAAATATATGCATGTGAAGGGTTCTTTAGGGATTCCTGACAGAAATCAGAGATACAATGTAACTTGCATTCATTTTGAAAACAAATATTAAAATGGTTTGGAAATGGGTAGGGCGGAGCCAGCCTTTGAGCCGCATGGACGTGCAGTAGCTGCGCTACCTAACCTAAAGACCTCAATCCTCGGCCATCGGGCACTACAAAGATAAAATGGGACAACCTAAACGATCAAATGCAGGACAACAATCATCCAACAAGACTCCTGGCGGAAAAAACAGGGTTTTAACCACATATTTCAGAGACTCGGCCCGAGCCTCAGAACGAAACTGAAGGCCCCAATATGGCACCGAACCCGCCACCACTCTGCTTCGCGCCAGCAAGTCCCTCTGTATCAGAACAGTCAACCCATTATCAAGACGCAGACATAAAAAGGCTAATCAGGGCCCTACCCTCGAAAACGGACCTGGCCTTGATGTTAAACAAACTGGAAAACGCATTCCAAACGAAGCTAGACACCATTGGCGCCGACTTTCAAGAAACAAAAGACAGAGACTCTGTATTAGAAGAAGACAGACACTATACAGGCCCAGTTGAGTACACTCCAGGACGCCATAGAAGGCCAAAAGACCCAGTTCGCATTTCTCCAGCGCTCCCTAGACGACCTGGACAATAGGGGTGGTCGTAATAATCTGAGATTCAAAGGCCTCCGCGAAGGAGACAATGAAAACGTAACCGACACCATCACGGAGCTGATAAAGCTACTACTAGAAAGAACTGCGGACACCCCAGTGCTTATTGATAGAGCACACAGGGCTCTCCGCCCGCGTAATGCAGCTTCCAAAACCCCACGCAATGTGATTTGTAGACTTCACTACTTAGCAGACAAGAACAGGGTTCTGGAGGCCCTGTGCTCCTCACAACAACCGCTCCTATACCAGAGCTCACCAGTAGCTATCTACCCAGACTTGTCCTGGCTGACGCTGCAGGCCCGCAGGACCCTAAAGTCTATTACAGACTAGCTACGCACCAGGAACCTCAGATATCGCTGGGGATTTCCCTTCGCCCTTACCACAACACACCAACGCGTCTCCCACACGATCTCAACCCCGCTTGATGTACCGGTATTCCTGAGGGCATTAGACTTGTCGGAGGTACACATCACGGACTGGTACGGCCCTGTCCCTCAGCCCACCCGTAAGCTGCAAACCCCCAGGAAACGAAAAACAGGTCCGGCAGAACACAAACCCGAAGACACAGCCCAGCTCAACTAACCTGCACCAACAAACCTAACTCCACACAAAGAACTTCCACAGGTGGACTGCCGTAAACCACTACGCCGTCATCGACACATCGCACAACGACGAACATTCATACGTTACCTGGTCAATCGACTTACCTGGCACCTTTAACAACCTGCAGTGGAATGAAGACCGCGAACCTCAATGACCCTTACCAAACCGAACAGACACTGTACCAGTGACACGCAAGTACTCCACTCCTGGAGGCCTGAATCTGGGCACCTCCAGGGTTACCCCTCTCCCTCTACCCCCCAAAAAAAAAAAAAAACCATATCCCACTTATCCATATATTAGACCTAAGTCCCACATCAGGGATAATCCTTATACAAATGTTGACCCCCTACGAACACACCGGAGACTTTCAAACTACAGAAACACAAGAAAGAACTCTCCCATTTAACCCCACATAACACCCATCTAAGACCCCCTTTGCTCACAACGGAATATGGACCGAACCGACGAAGCAACAGCTAAACATTGAAAGGATAGATAAACTTGCGTCGCACATATGTTGCAGTTAGATCATGTATATGGTATATTGCACTGAAAGCTACTGTTGACTACTGCCTACTGTATAGCTGAAGAATGTAGCTAAACTCGGTATAAACAGATTGGCTGATAACTAAAGTTCAGCAAGTCAGTCTGACCAACACAAAGGGACAACACAGGAAGACTACAACGGCATAAATAGACTATTGTGACCAGAGGTACAACATGTAAACAGACTAAGTGGAATACCGAACACAGTCTAGATAAATAACACGATTAACACCTATATCACCATAAACGAAGAACACCAACTACTGTTTGCAGAGAAAACCTGACTAAACACCATGCCAGAAAAACAGGGGGGAAACACAGAAAATAATGGGGTTGGATAATAGCACAGCTACAAATTGCTTAGGTAGAACAACTGACGGTAACCTATGTAAACTGACATGCTGAATAACCAACTCTATAACACCAGACTTTCCTTTTAGACTGACACAGCGTAAACAGATAGAGCTGAATGTTAAATATTGCGCTGAGTGAAAATATTGTCTAGGTGAGTTATGTGTGAGTAGTTGATGCTATCTGAATAATGCTTGCCTGTAACTGTAACACCGTCACTTAAGAGACCTGTGATGTTCCAGTGATGATGATAGACTGCCTCAGACCCCCCTGGCCCCTGCTACAGATCTGGCAGAACACTGACACATATTCCTTGCCCTCAGCTCCATCTGAGAAAACGGAGCCTCTTACATAAAATGCTATAAATGCCTGAAAAGAAACACCAGTATGCCAAAAAGGAAATGGCACCACACAGGCCACTATCCTAGATACATAAAGCATCAGTAAGGTCTTTGCCCACCAGTTACAGTACCCTCCATAGACCTAAGTGACTTCCCCCCTCCCCCCCACCAAAATACGGACCCCTGGTACACCCACCTATAGGAACCTCTTACCCCCTACGAGGTCATGAAAGAACCTAACAAGCCCAACTAATGAAGGCTGCAGGTCTCACTCCCAAGCAGACACATTAAGACCGACATACCCACACAACCCCGAACACTCCTCATCGAAGAGAGAACAGGAAGGGGGGATACAACATATCACCATACACGACCCAATAAGATCACCTTACACCGAGGTGCCCACTTCCAACTGATATAGACCAATACACCGAAACACTGACACGACAATAGACATAAAGCGGCAGACTGCAGATCACAGTCCACATGAAGGTAAGTCCCTCACATAAACATTGCCCACCTACACAACTTAAAGGATTGCTCTCTAGAACCAAAATACCTACTTAGTTACCACAAACACCTCCCAGAGAGGAACCAAGAAACTACACCACAACACTCACTGCTACACGTCACATAGGAGACCCAACAGACTCCTACACAAGGTCCACCAGACCTATCCCAGGTGCCGAAACACGCCCCGAGTGGCCACTCATCCCACTCAGGGGAAAACTCCAAAGGGAACACCCATCTCCCCTACACCACTTTTCTAATACCACACTTCACCAACGGGCGACTCACACAACTGTATATAGTTTAACTGTTACACCCCTTTCCCCCTACTGCCCTTGTCGTGAAAGGGCCGAGAGCCCCCCTTAAACAAACATAAACAAGCAAAACACACACTGCCTGAAGCCCACGGGTGAGGGGACCTACCCCTTCCCCCCCAACAGCCCCAAAACCAATTTCCACACCCTCGTCATAGTTATCCCCCACCGCCCAAATAGCGGCTAAAACAGAGAGAACAGGCGAGGGACCGCTACACGCGAACACCCACACCCCCTCAACCTCTGCCCCCACCAGTCCTGGCACCCTAGGTGTCAGACCAGGAAACCCAGACCATAGAGATACACAACTAACCCCAGGTATCCAAAGGCCCAGTCCCCATTTTTAGCCCACAGACCACGGACTAACATTCACACAGCCAAATCTTCACCCTCCAGCCCTTCAGGGTCACCTTCCGCTATAGCTCCTCCCTTAAACAACCCCAACCATGACAACCCCAAAACACTCCCATACTGATCATGTACCGCCATGAGTACCAAATTATCATGCATCTCCATCAACTGCAAGGGCCTCAATAACCCAGCAAAGAGACACCGCCTAGTGAGGTGGGCAAACCGCACAGGGGCAGACATAATCCTACTTCAGGAAATGCACTTCACCCAGACTAAACCCTTCCCCCTCACCAGCCGACACTACCGTGAATGCCACACTGCGAACTTCCCTACCACCAAACAAAACAGAGTAGCAATACTGATACGGAAATCCTGCCCACTTAGCACTAAACAAGTCATTAAAGACCCACAAGGACGATACATAACACTTACAGGACAAGCATGCCACAATCAATATGCCATCACATCGCTATACGCCCCAAATACCCCAGACAAAACGTTCTGGGACATTCTCCACGCCCACCTAGCCATAACCCCAGGACATCACAAAATCATAGGGGGTGACTGCAACACCACACTGTCACCAACGATATACAGACGCTGACCCCTGCAAATACCCCACCTCCACAAACAAAATAGACAAACTATTGCAAGACTTCGTGATACGCCAACAACTTGTAGACATCTGGCGCCTGCTCCACCCGACCACTCGGGATTTCACATTCTACTCCCACCCACATAACTCGTATTCGCGCATTGATGTCTTCCTGACCTCCCCCTTCCTCACGGAAGCAGTCCACACAGCCACTATAGGCAATATTACCTGGTCAGACAACGCTGACATTGCAATATCCATCAAGATCCCCAACGTGGCACGCCTGTGGTCCTGGAGACTTAATCCTACTTTATTACACAACCACGTACTGAAAGACACGATACATACAGAACTCACAAAATATTTTACCCTGAATACGGCCACGGCACCCTCACCGGGCGTACTGTGGGCCGCCCATAAGGCAGTCATACGGGGCAATATAAAAATATGGGAGATATTCCAACAATACTTTACCACACTATATGAGCATAGCCCAGCCACACGAACACACCCAGACACAACAAAACAAACGATAGAAACATACCTACAGAAAACAAGCCCTAAAACCGGAGGCAATCGCCAAAATAAGCGAACCAATCACCATTGAAGAAATCGCTAAAACTATTAACACCAAACCTAACAAGAGCCCGGGACCAGACGGTTTCATGGGCCTTTACTATAAATCGTTCCCAGCAGCGCTCCTCCCACATCTATGCAACCTTTTTAACTCCGTGCTACAGGGGAACCCCCTACCTCCTGACATGTTATGAGCAAACATGTGCCTCCTCTCCAAGCCAAACAAAACCCACCTGGATCCGAGTCACTACCGACCGATTTCCCTACTAAATGTAGACGTCAAACTACTTACAAAATTGCTAGCATACAGGATAAACCCCTATGTACACAAACTCATACACCTGGACCAAGTGGGTTTTATACCTTCCAGAAAGGCATACGATAACACAAGATGGACCTTTGATCTCATCTGGATAGCCACACACACCGAAGACTCCCCACAAAGCTATGTTCTATCCACCCTTACCGCTAACTCGCGGACGGCTTCCCTTCTTTGAAACATCCTGCCTACCCCCATCAGACTCTCCCCTAGTCTTCAATGGTTTGAGAAGTCCCTCAAAAAAAAAAATCTGTTCAGAAATGCTTATGGTCTCCCAGAGTAACTTATCTATACCTATCCAAATCTGTCTCTTGCTCTCCTGAAGAGCCACACTCCATCCTGTTTGGTGGCTGTCACCCTTGCTGTCCTGTTGTGTATTTGTACTCCACCTCCTCTAGACTGTAAGCTCGTTTGATCAGGGCCCTCATCTACCTATTGTTCCTGTGTCACTGTGTAATTGTCTCATTTATTGTAAACGTTCTCCCCTTTCATAATATTGTAAAGTGCTGCAGAATAAGTTGGCACTATATAAATACCAATATTAATATTAATAATCCACACGCCTACCCTGACAGTTTGCTCAAAAATGTCTGCCCCTAATGTCTTCAAGTTTTATCAACCTTTGTAAGAATCTAGAGCCATTAGTATCCAAAGCAAGCCTTATACCATTCCTTACCAGACAGATTTGCTCTAAATAAAAGCATTTTGTATCACAAACGGCAACATTCCACTCCACAGACTGACAGCTTTAATTCAGGATATACTTTCCATTGACCTCTGCCCTTTCAGTGCCATCTCAGTGAAGCATTAACAGAAACACTCCAAGAACCACTGCCACAACAGCATAGCTGTGCCAGGTGTTGTCTGTTAATACCCCACGTAAGTAATCAAACCCATATTGAAACCTCTGGTTTGAAAGCTCCTTATCAGATTACAAACAGAAGGCCCTACTTCCATATTCCTGACATCAAAATAGAGATAAACTTAATGTCAATAATGCTGAGAGGGAATTTAGAAATATCTGAAGAGGGGAATGGATCTTGTGGGGGCCCATGGAACTATGGTAAAAAAGGGTTAAACCAGCGGTTCCCAGACTGTGTGCCGTGGCGCGCTGGGGCGCCATGATAGGCACACAGGAACGCCACAAAATATTTCCCAGGTGCTATGATCGTAACACAGGAAACATTTTTGCTTAACATGGGCCTGGTCGGGTGCCGCGGCCCTTTATGACCGAGACCAGGCCTCTGTAGTGTTGGCTGGCTGAGAGAAAGTGACAGCCTGTCACTTCCTTTCAGTTTCACGCAGAGAGACTGTGTGGGAGAAAGAGGAGGCAGCCACAGAGGGAGTATTATGGGAGGGGAGAGGGACACGAGAAGTTGCTTCAGACCCCTTACTCCCACCAGCAGGACCAGGACTTCAAATAAGCCACCCTCATGAACACAAAAGGTAAGCCAACAGTAGGATTGCTAAAGACATAAAATTGATCACATACATACATATACACACATATAAACAGTGGTACATCGGTTTACAAATGCTTCGGTTAACAATTTTTGGTTTATAAATGAAAATCCATTGAAAATAATGGCCCAGTTTACAAATTTTTTCCGCAATACAAAGCAAGTTTCCCCAGGATGCATTGTGCCTGGGAGGTTTATAGCACCGCCCCTGTGTATGCTGTCTGTGGGTAGCACGTGGCGTCGAGTGTGGAGGTGTTGTAGTTTTTGCATTGGATTTTGGAGCCATTCTGTAAATTTTTGCAGCGGTTTTGGGACTTTTTGGTGCATTTCTCAAGCTGTGGAAAGGTAGGGAGCTGAGCTTTGTCGTTTGCATGCCTTTTACTGTGTGTTCTGCATTGTGTGTTGGTTTCCATGCCAGCTAATTTTGACTTTTTCTGACCTCCGGAAAAAGGATTAATTGGTTTTTAATGCATTCCTATGGGAAACCATATTTAGGTTGACAAATGTTTCTCAATACATAACGTACCAGAGTACATATTGAATTCGTAAACCGAGGTATGCGTGCATGTAATGTATAATATATATATATATATATATATATATATATATATATATATATACACACACACATACATATATATACATACACACACACATATATACACACACACATACATTAACACAGAGAGAGAGAGATACATCTGTGTGTTAATGTATATGTATATCTGTGTAAGTATGTATGTGGTAGTGTATGTGCATACATTGAAGCAGTCAAACATCAGCACAACATACACACTCCTGCAATTTCACACAAATAAATTCCTGCAGTCAAATTCCAAAATTATATACAAACACACCCCTTCACTCAAACACCAATACTACACACAAACGCATATCAACATTTAAACGCCAGCATTATATCAAAACACACCCCTGCAGTCAAATGCAGACATTACACACCCCTGTATTAAAATACTAAAATTATATACAAGTACCCATTCAATCAAACACCAACACTATACATTATACTAAAGCAACAGTATATGCCACAGCGCTGTACAGATATACAAACTAGAATTTAGTTTTGACTTGGGGCGCCTTGGAAAAATAATGAAATATTAAGGGTGCCTTGAACCTAAAAACCTTGGGAACCACTGGGTTAAACCATTCAAAAACGGTTTGGTTACCATATGAAAGCATAAGGAATTCTCAGCACTATAACCACTATGGTGAGCCTACAAAAAGGGTGTGTAAAACCAACAAACTTAAGAAATCTATGTAAACCTGAATACACTATACTCCTAGATGGAACCTGTAAAATGGAATTACTAGAAGCGTAGAATTCAGTGCTTAATGGACAACGTCACCTCAAAACTAGTTTTACTATATAATAATCCTTTCACCAAGTTTAGAAAGCAAATTCATTGATTTTATTTTTTGTAAATGGGGGGGGGGGGGGAGGGAGATTTACAAATACAAGAAAACACCACAACTCATCCCTACCATATATATGGTGACAAAATCCATCAGCCATGTACATACACCTTGGGTTGGACAGTGTGTTTCTATGGTCTTACCTGATTTACTCCCTGCAATGAAGCAGAAAGACCATAGAGACTGTCCAACCCATGCAGCAGGTATATATAAGGCTGTTGGATTTGGTCATATTGTGATCCTTCATTTAACAAAAATCTATTTCCTTTCAAAACATGAGCAAAAGATAGTTAAAAAAAATAAAAATACTTTTTTGAGGAGACCGTTGTCGTGTAACAATTATTATACAAAACTTGGTATTATTTAAAGGGCGCAATATGCCTGGCAGACTAAAGTATGTAAAAAGTATTTTACGCCAGTAACCAGCTCAGTTTGGTACGGATAATAGCTTCCTATGGGGATTGTCGCTTGACCTACTTTACTTCATAAATTATAGACATAATTTATTGCGTTTTGCCACCTGTGTGATCATAGAAGGGTGTCAATTAACAGTAGGACGGGAGCACATTAAAGCGCTATACTAAAGCACGCCTGGTGAGATTATCTACGATAAACTGAGCCAAGCAGTGAGAAGGTTATAGGTTTTGAATAGGACACATATAGATACAAAGACACACCCTTTTTTGCCTAACTACTTAAAAGTTTTGTGAATATATGTCTATTTATGTAACCAACGTAAAAATATAAGTACTAATATGGTGTATTGCAAGTTGGCTGATATGCACTATAAATGAAGAATAATTTAACCAATACAAATATTTTGTCTATACAAATCTAACCATGTAATTCTCAGCTTTGCAGTGAAGTAGTCCTTTAGAGGAGATCTCCAAGGTGGATTCGCCACTTAAACTACAAGAAATAATTCACAATATCAACAGACACAGATTGCCGTTACTTGCTTCACCAACAACTATAATGCAGCACTCGCTGTAAGTTAGAGCTCAGACTGTTTGGACCTCTGACTAGCAAGATATCATGAGAGTTACAACTTCTCCACAAAGATATTCCTAGCACTTACAGATATCTGGTCCATGCACACATGTCACTACAGGACATACCTCTGTACATTTAGACATTATCATTATATTACAACTGATGGCCACTGCTTCCTTAGCAGATAACATGGAATCCACTCTGACCTGCCCTCCTATAGGGTGTAACCGTAGCCTTAATGTGTCCTTTACTAAGTGGTGGTTACAGTATTCGCCACATGAATACAGAGAGCAGATAAAGGTGATCCTTTATTGTATGAACTGTTTTAGAATGCAAGTTTCTTAGACCTCTATGGTTTTTTTCTTCAGGCTTGGAGGATACAGATGTCTATGGAGGTCCCAATCCAAACCTTGGACAATAAAGGTTCGATCAGCTGCACTGTACCCATTATTACATGCCTACCAATTACAGCTGATTAATGAGGCGACAAAAAGGAAAAGCTGTGTATGGCCCAATGCATCTGTATCACACTACACTGTGTGATACACAATCTTACAGCAAACAATGGTATGTTCCATTCAGCAACACACTGATATCCACACAGTGTATTTTACATAGCACTCCCAATGTATTCAAACAGAAGGAGAATTACCTGTCCAAGTAGAACATTCCCACACAAATAATATTTTCTTCATACATATATGATTTGGATCGTACAAAAAAAAAAAAAAATATATATATATATATATATACATATATACACACACACACACACATATACACACACACGCGCAAGATTTTGCTGCCAAAGAAACAAGACAAAAAAAAAAAACCCTTCAAAATTGCATTTATTTTTAGCCATCGAAGCAAATTTCTGGGCAAGTCTATGCTACACTAAAAGCAAAATTCAAGACACTGCAGGCTCTCATTCATCTTCCCAACCTAGCAGACAGATCTGTGAACACGAACTATAATACAATCAGCCTGACATGCATTCTCCCCCATCCATTCGCAGCTGCTAACTCGTTCTCTGAACAATAGAAATGTCAGCTTAGGACCCCAAACTCCCCCCCACCCCCTTCTCAGCCTGAAAGATCCCGACTGGAATTTAGCCGATCCCTGCCATGTTAGCAGGAAAAGACGGACACCATCCTATTCTGTAGACAAAGCCAGGGACAGCCACCACACAAGTAAACCGAGCGCCGTGCACGCCAGCCAGAATGGAGATGGGGAGGGCTAGAAGGGAGCACTGCCAATCCCCTGCCTCCCTTTGGGGTGGATTTAGGACAGGGATCAGGGAAAGGGAGGATGGGGAGGCAGATGGATTAGGCCTCGGGCAGAGAAAACAAGACAATAATACAGAGATAAACAATAAAACCAGGGGGGAACGGGAATCTGGGAATTGCACAGTTATGCAGGAGTCAGAATACCAATGAATCCAGGATAACAAGACAATGACAGTAAATGAATGACAAACAGAGGCAGACAACTTTGAGAATGAACAGGGGGTATATAAAGGACCGGCCAGCCATGTCAGCCTCCATGTAACCAATATATGTAGGGTGATGTAACATCATACACAGCATGACAAACTGTGCAACAAAACAGGGCTGAGAACATCCAGGAGGGAATCCTTACAGTCAGCTGGGCTCCAAGCACATCACTGCTTCGCTGCTACAGTAGCCTGTGCCCAGGATATCAATAAGGAAAACATGTATCAAGGTTTGTCCATACCATTAAAGGACCACTATAGTGCCAGGAAAACATACTCGTTTTCCTGGCACTATAGTGCCCTGAGGGTGCCCCCACCCTCAGGGACCCCCTCCCGCCCGGCTCTGGAAGGGGGTAATAACTTACCTTTTTCCAGCGCTGGGCGGAGAGCTCTCCTCCTCCTCTCCGCCTCCGTTACGCCCCGCCGGCTGAATGCGCACGCGCGGCAAGAGCTGCGCGCGCATTCAGCCGGTCTCATAGGAAAGCATTTACAATGCTTTCCTATGGACGCTTGCGTGCTCTCACTGTGAATTTTCACAGTGAGAAGCACGCAAGCGCCTCTAGTGGCTGTCAATGAGACAGCCACTAGAGGATTAGGGGAAAGGCTTAACCCATTCATAATTATAGCAGTTTCTCTGAAACTGCTATAATTATGAAAAAATGGGTTAACCCTAGCTGGACCTGGCACCCAGACCACTTCATTAAGCTGAAGTGGTCTGGGTGCCTAGAGTGGTCCTTTAAACAGGAACCAGCTACATTCTTACCCATTCAATACAGACACATAATCTTCCTTCCAGAGAAAAATTTATGTTTCTCCAAGGACCACTAATTGATAAATGGAAAGAGGCAGTATTAGTCTGCTTCACACCCAGCCTGGCAGGGGTCATCCGGTACGTCTTACATTTGGTCCTGTGCAATATGGGGTATGGTATCTCCACGGCCCTGGGCAACCGGGGAGTCAACGTAACCTACCGGGCCCTGGGCAACCGGGGAGTCAACGTAACCTACCGGGCCCTGGGCAACCGGGGAGTCAACGTAACCTACCGGGCCCTGGGCAACCGGGGAGTCAACGTAACCTACCGGGCCCTGGGCAACCGGGAGTCAACGTAACCTACCGGGCCCTGGGCAACCGGGGAGTCAACGTAACCTACCGGGCCCTGGGCAACCAGGGAGTCAACGTAACCTACCGGGCCCTGGGCAACCCGGGAGTCAACGTAACCTACCGGGCCCTGGGCAACCCGGGAGTCAACGTAACCTACCGGGCCCTGAGCAACCGGGGAGTCAACGTAACCTACCGGGCCCTGGGCAACCCGGGAGTCAACGTAACCTACCGGGCCCTGGGCAACCCGGGAGTCAACGTAACCTACCGGGCCCTGGGCAACCGGGGAGTCAACGTAACCTACCGGGCCCTGGGCAACCGGGGAGTCAACGTAACCTACCGGGCCCTGGGCAACCGGGGAGTCAACGTAACCTACCGGGCCCTGGGCAACCGGGGAGTCAACGTAACCTACCGGGCCCTGGGCAACCAGGGAGTCAACGTAACCTACCGGGCCCTGGGCAACCGGGGAGTCAACGTAACCTACCGGGCCCTGGGCAACCAGGGAGTCAACGTAACCTACCGGGCCCCGGGCAACCAGGGAGTCAACGTAACCTACCGGGCCCTGGGCTATCAGCCCCCCTTCCCTCCCCCGGGGCTGGCAGGTCACTTACCGTCAGAGGTTTAGCGGTCCCACAGGCCGGGCCCTGGGCAGGAAGGGGTTGGCCGGTCGGGCGGACACAGTGCGAGCCGCCAGCTCCGTGTTTCGGGCTCGGTATCCGGTCGGCGCTCGGTAGGTACCCGGTATCCGGTGGGTACTCGGTGTCCCAGGCTCAGTGGGCGATAAATGTTCCGTATTCGGTGGGTACTCGGTGTCCCGGGGTCTCCTCGAGACGTTACCGATCCCAGCGCGCGGCCGCCTCAGCCCCAGAGAAAGACACTGCGGACGGAGCGTGCGCGTTCACACCACCTGCGTCACTTGTGTCACGCGCACCGCGCGCTTCCGCTACCGCTTATACTTCCTACAAAAGGGGTCCGCGCTGGTCACGCCCACTGCCAAAAAAAGACTCGCCCTATTACAGTTAGCCCCGCCCCTATATTGCTCGGAGTCTTTCCCGCCTTTTGTGTGTGAGAAAAGGAGAGGGCGTGTTTCTTGCACGAGGCAGTCACAGCAAATTAAATATACAGCCCCCTACTCTAATACAGAGTATATATACAGCCCCCTGCTCGAATACAGAGTATATATACAGCCCCCTGCTCGAATACAGAGTATATATACAGCCCCCTGCTCTAATACACGGTGTATATACAGCCCCCCTGCTCTAATACAGAGTATATATACAGCCCCCTGCTCTAATACAGAGTATATATACAGCCCCCTGCTCGAATACAGAGTATATATACAGCCCCCTGCTCTAATACACGGTGTATATATACAGCCCCCTGCTCTAATACAGAGTATATATACAGCCCCCCTGCTCTAATACACGGTGTATATACAGCCCCCCTGCTCTAATACAGAGTATATACAGCCCCCCTGCTCTAATACACGGTGTATATACAGCCCCCCTGCTCTAATACAGAGTATATATACAGCCCCCCTGCTCTAATACACGGTGTATATACAGCCCCCCTGCTCTAATACAGAGTATATACAGCCCCCTGCTCTAATACAGAGTATATATGTACAGCCCCCTGCTCTAATACAGAGTATATATACAGCCCCCTGCTCTAATACAGAGTATATATAC